AAAAAAAAAAAAAAAAAAAAAAAATAGAAAACAATTACTATCTTATGCATAAATAAAAATAATCCTCGAAACAGCATTAAACTTACTCCAATCCATTTCCATAGAATGGTGGATGAAGAATTCCGGCTGGGAAGGCTGTTAATAAAAAATATAAGAAAAGCTCGATCAAGCGTACAACTATTTCACGGAGGATGTGTATTCACGAATCGATGATCAATCATTACTCACTGACAGAATTAAGGATGGCGCTGTAAAAAGCATTCACGGTCGTGCCGGTCGATATCCATCGATCCTTGTCAGGCTTCTCTCGCAGACTATTCAGACTCTTCTTAGCGCCTACATTCGTGAGTCTGAGGAACGTCTCAAAGAGTCTGCCCTCGACCACTTCCGCCTAATTGAAAAGTCATCAGAGTATAATTAGAAAGCTAGTGTGAATCCCGTAGTCTGCACATTCCAAAATGGCGTTCAACAATAATACGTACTCCTTCGTAATATTTATCCAATTTTTTAGGATCTGTGATCCAATCAGGAAATCCGACGAATGGTCTCATCGCGTGTAACTTCCGGTGGGCACGTGCTCTGGTCCCTACGTCCATCCAATCCAACTCACTGACCATTTCGTTGAATGCTGCTCTAACGTCCAAAAGCATTTCCAGCGCCTTCTCGCGGGCGTGCTCATTGAAGTGTCGCTGTACGTAGATGTAACTGAGTGCCATTCCAAAATTTGAATTCACATTTCCCGTGCATCCCTTCCATCTTGGAGTTTTCTCTTTAAGCCCAAAGACCTTTTGCGAAAATTGAAAACCCAGATCGCGAAACTTTTGTAAAGTTAATGGCGCAACTGTTGAGTACACACTCCACCACATGTAACGCGCTGAAATATTAAAAATTATTTTATTTATAATCCTTTTATTAGAAACTTTGAACGTTACTTTGTCTATTGTGTAATTGACTCTAGTATGCATGACCGAGGTCTCCGGTGTTCAGTGACATATCGCTAACTTATCAAAGTATCGATTTAATTTTGGTCCAACTTACTTGATCCCCCCCTCCCCCAATACCAAGTTCCATAAAAACTACTCGCGGTATTAATAACTATAACTAAACGATTAAATAATCTATTACTTTCCATAATATAAAATCCTTGAATGATATTTGATAAATTTATACTTTAAACCCTTCATGGAAAATTTTTCAGTCAACGTTTATCTGTAAGGGCCTTAGAAGCCCTGCTCGTATGAATTAAGTTTATAATCACGCATACCAGGGTTAATAATATCATCGCTACTCCCGATAGCTTTCGACCCCGTATGGCCTCGTTTGATTACGTTTATTATTAGGTTTATATTTTTCTTTACGTTTTTGTATCAACTTTTTATAGCCGAGCAAAGTGAAACAAGCAGCCGATTAAATGGGCATTTAACTGCTGATGCTTACCCACAGTAGCTGGATGCGTTACAGCCAGTAGCTGCGGAAGTTTTTGCAAGTAATGTAAATCCATTATTATCACTCGGTCGGTTGACGGGTCAATAGTGACATTTGTATTGTCAAATACTGCCTCGATATAGTCCGTCCAGTTCCACTGTAGATAAAAACAGAGTTAGTATTGTACATTTTAGAAATAAGAAAAGATTTTACCTGTTGCACGTGAAGGTCTGTAAGCTGTTGCAGTTCATTGATCGTGACGTCATGAAACAAATGATTGACGCTTCTCCTCTGCTCGGGCGTGCTCATTATCTGTTTGAAAAAAAAATAAAAATATGAAAACTGGCCATTCTTTCGAAAAAATTGGTATTTTCTTTAAATCCAAGCAAAATTACTCACTTGGGCGAGTTTTGTGCTAAAATCCAAAAGTTCATCAGCAAAATCCGAGCTTTTCGCTCCAGCTCCAGCTAATTGCACCATGGCTGTTATATACTTCTTGTATTCTCCGAGCTCCGACTGAAATCTCTGCGGATCCAGTAGGTAACGTTCGCTGAAGCCAGGTGACACCTGTTCCATCTTAATAAGACAAAACAAGGTTTGATAACCGTGCCAAAAAAAAAGTGAAATAAATGTTTTTCGAAGTAAAGTGACAAAGAGAAATTGGCTGTTACCATCATCCTATTCCTGGTGGTATCGCGAACGTCTTCGCTTACATAAAAGTTCAATAGAATATTCAGACCAAGGAGTCTTTGAGCGACTCCGGTGATCCTGGCAAGATTTACAGGTGGGATGTCATCGTCCAAGGGAGGATCGCGTGGGAGGCCGACCTTTTTAAGGACGTCGAAGATCGGTTCCAGTCCTAGGGCTTCTACGGTGGCTAAAAAAGAAGAATGAAGACCATGACCTCAGCGAAGATCGTCTAATGTCATACAATGGAACCCAATGATATACCTGTATCCATGCATGTCCTGTAGAGTGCCTTGGCAAGTTTAACCGGCTTGAGGTCATCCTCCTTCTCAGGTTCCTCCAACAGAATTCTTAGATTCTTGAGCAGCTCCTCGCGTAGAAGACTCAACTGATCCCAGGATGTCTGACTCTGCGGTATCGGATGCTTCGCTATCCATCCGCCGCATGCAAACTTGTAGAAATCCACGCAAGGATCTATCGACCTGTTCATCGCTTCCATGACTCTGGCAGCTGGGGAATTTAAAGGGAATTTCTATGTGACTGCATCTTTCTCATTGGATTTTCTTTTAAGGAAGTTTGAACTTTCGTCCTTCCTACTAGGAAGTTTGCAAGTACAGTGTGCGCGACTCGAGAGATTCGTGATCGTGCACTGTTCTTCCTGGGAAGCCAGGCGAAACACTTTTTTTTTTCTCTTGTGGACCACATAATAGAGGAAACCGCAGAATTATCAATCGTTTTCGAAGAAAATGACGGATATAAAGAAACATTAGAATTCCGCAGAGCATCGTGCAGGATCTATCGACATACCGAATATCCGTTAAATTCACTTAAAAAATCATTAACGTCATTCCAGCCACTTGCGTAACTATTTAACATTCTCTCAGTTCGTCATTTTGAGGTTCATATATATAGTTATATACGATTAATAACTGCAAAACTTCAAGTTTCCTACACGGTCCGTAAATAAGATTAAGATTGCGATTCTATGAAATTTTCGCAACAATCCCAAGCACTGTCCAAAAGAATTATTGTATCCTGCAGACGTACAATTTTTTTCTCATTGAATAAGATAATAATCGCTAACTAAAATTTTTATTTATTTTTTATTCATTTTTTTCATTACCGGTTTTTATACAGTCCTCGTTCTGACACATCTCCCTGTATTCCTCCTTGTGAAAAACTGCCATCTGCAAGGTCAGCGTGACTACCAGTGCTATCACAGCGACGGCAAGTAGGCCTACGACTATTATCAATCTAGTCTCCTTGCCGCCTGACTTCTTCTCGTCTCGGGTATAAGTCCTAGTAGAAAAAAAGGAAAGAATAAAAAAAATGGAGTATGTCCTGGATAACAATCGACTTACGGAATATCTTAACTCTTTCTTCGACGATGCAAAAAGGGGACAAAACATACCAGGAGGTTTCAGAAGGCTGCCTGGTAACATCGTGTTGTCCGCCATTGTCTTCTGGGTCGTTTACCTGTATAAATAATTTAAATTGAACAACCAATATATAGATTTCAAATGACAGAGTCACGATCGGTATGACGTGGCGAATATTTCCATGGGATCTTTTTTTCATCATTTCTTACCAACCTGAGATCAGTCGGATGAACTTTTGTCAATAAAAATAAAAATAATTTCTTTGAAAAGAATTAAGGCAAATCGAAGAATGAATGTTGTGCAAATTTTATAATTTTTTTTAACTTTCTTTTTCGTACTCTTTTTTTTTTTCCTACATTTTTTCACCTTGTCATACTTAGACGAGTCCTTGAGTGTAGATGCTTCCGTGCGCAAAATACTACAAACATAGGTAAATTCAATCAGTCGAGGTTTTATTGAAGTCACTGAATGCCGTCACGAGTTTGAATAGGATTTACGCGCCTATTATGACACGTATTCAGAATCAGTCAGAATCATTATGATCATCCTGTAGAAATGCCAAGCACCATGTAGGAACAAATGACAATCCCCAGTAAAGTAACTGGACTAAGGACAGAGAGAAGTAGAAAGAAAGGAATTGTCATGAAATATAATAGAAAAAGATATAACCAATTTCAATTTCCATTTACACAAACGTATATTACATTTCGCGTAAGTTTACATTTCGCGTCTTTTTTTTTCTATTCTACAATAATATGATAAAAATTATCTCCTTGTCTCCCATAAGATTTTTAGCATCATACTTATAATCATACGATAACCTCAGTTTGCGATTCAATTCGATTTTCTGTTTCTTTATCTTTGTATCTCTTTCCTTTTTCCCTTCGTACAATTAGATACGCAAGGCCACGTGTAAGATGGTCTATTTTAACGAGTTGCTTTTGTAAACACTGAAATTTCGTGGTGCCGCACATATAATACGTAAAAAAAAATCTACGAACTTAAGACGTATCAATCACCCGATATAAACAGAGAGGAAATTATCGGCCGAGTATCCGTATGGGAAATACTTAATATTAAACATAATAAGAAATCGAGAAAAAGAAGTAAAAAAAGTATACGAAATATATTTCGGGCATATTGGTTTTAAACTTTGTTAACTGACTTTCATGTCGCGTATAACGTGTTCATAAATAGATATTGTAATCGACGATCACACGCGGCGGACACATGGAACTATTTGCTAATTCCACGGCCGTTCGATTCCCAGGCAAATTCAAATACTCCAGAGCATTAACGGTTAAAAGCGTATATCGTAGGATGCTATTGTGAGTCCCTCGGGGTTTACACCGGGTCACGTACCAAGCAAATCTAAGACGTTATCAGAGGCATTGACTCTAATTATCATTCGACATAAACGGCCGGGTGACGTGGCCATCGGCAACTCCATTGTCGTTGTTTCCTTTTAAAAAAAGAAGTCCTGCGACTGTCTTTCGAACTGCGATACCTAGCGCTGTCATCTTATTGTTAGTCATAATAGTAAACAGTGGCACAGAAAGGATCCAACGGTGACGACTAGATCCTCATAACCTCAAATGAATTGTCGGACCGAATCAACTTTTGTTTTTCCTGGAACTCAGCCATAGTAAGTTGCAACTGATTTTTTGTTACAGTCGTGTTGCGCAATTACTTAATTCTCTCGTATCTTCTTTGTCCTTAAGGACACGTTTTTCGTACAGTTTTCTTTCTCTTCTTTCTTCGCACTCTTCAACTCTTTTTATTATTTCTCTGTTACGCCCTGCCGCCACTAGGGGGAAATACAGACGATCGTTTTCCTACGAGTATAACAAATTCCTTACCCACGACGACACTGACACGAAATTTCTCGAGCATTTCTCTGCTATTTATTTTATTTTACTATGCTCTATTTATCTGACCTTTTATTATTGCTTCGTGGGAACATCGAAGTAAGCGTGGAAACAATTATTCTACGGCTTTTGAATTATGTACAGAGTCCTTCCTCTCACCTTGTATCTCATCTTCGCGTCGCTTCGCTCTTCTCTCCGGGGATTACTCTGCAACAAAGAGACATTTGCCATTCTAAATGCACGCGCGCACACCTTAATTATAAACGAACGCGATCTGCTTTGCAGTCAGCGAATCGCGTCCACTTTGCATTTAATGAGACGAAACGTACTGTAGGCCTTTCTTCCATGCAATTTTCTTTGCCGTGCGCTTACTTGTGTCAATACAGAAGATATATGATATATTGTGCATCGTGGCAGATCATCTTGGCAGGAAGTTTTGAATCTGTATTGTATATGTTTGGAAAGTGTCTATATAAATAAATAAATATCTATGTATTTTTATTAATAAATGCGTGTATGACGTGCCCTAGACTTATACTGCAATAACTTAGATCTATAGATCAATAGTTTTTGAGATCGATGAACCTGACCGCGACAACCGATACAAGGCGAAGGCCTGTAGCATATATCTGCTTTCGTGGTTTTACAGTTTCATACCGATTCGGATGACTCTCTTTTACTACGAAATTCAGCAGACAGGAGATAGTTTCTCGTCACGGTTATCCTTTTGGTTTATTATTATTTCTTAGTCCAGTTTCTACACCACAAAATACATTGCCAGACTGCGAATGTTCACTGCACGTTCAAAAAGCGCCCGACAAGTGTAAATTGGTTGGTGCACACATGTATAGTAATAGTTACGAATGTTCTGGTTCATGACGCGACGAGCGATGCGTGAAAATTCGTCAATTAGAAATACGCGCATGGCGAACGCGACGAGAAAGAGACTCCAAGATTTTCTCAATAGGTGATTTTCACGCTGCCCAAACGAATTTGCTACCTACTACTTATGGCTCTCGCGGCTCGAATAATCATTTTCTCCTAGGGGCAACCATGCGAGTCTGGTCTTGTTTCTCTGCTGCGCTTTTATTTTTACATAAAGATTTCTATGCAGTCATCTCGTGTGTACCGACGTTATTTTTCATTTCGAAAGAGAACATCATTCACTGATCATTACAATCAGTGTGATCTTACCTATTGAGAGGAAGAGGGTCCCTGTTTCACGTGTGACTGTACATACAGTGTCACTGGATGTAGAGGGGCGGTCGGTCGGAATGCGTCCAAGTACGAGTGTTTGATGACAGTTATGATACCGTAACGAAAAGTCTGACTATTTCGCGCGAGGAATATTTAATGATTTTAACAGACAGTTTCGATTTTCATTCGGGGAGCCACTATTTTTAAACCAGTACGAGCATAGCAACCTCTTTTTCACTGTATAAATTCATTTTGGGTTATTATGTAGGTGCTGTGCTTCTTGCTGGGACTTGCTGAAAGGTCAATATAAACTGTTTCTTGACGCCACAATTTGTTTAGTAAGAATTCCGCGGGAAGGATAAAAAAGGCGCCATATTCAAATTACACGACCGCATCGTTTTACGTAATCATTGTAGACTTACCTCTGCTGACGTGAGGTGTGATCTACGAGAGCATAGTCTCTGCAATTATGTGGCAAATACTAAGGAAGCGCGTCTGAGGAGAAATAGGATTGTCCGTTTCTTCAAAATATCCTGATGTCGACCGCCTGTCAGAGAGGTTAGAGTTGACTCCTCTTCCTGTCTTTTGGTAATTCCTCTTGTTCACGTGATATCACTTCTCATTGTAGCAGTTTATCTTAGCACTATGAGCGCGAGTTACCGTCCTTCGGTGTTAATGATAAATTGACTAAGGATTTTTCTTAACGGAAGGTGGCAGGCGGCGTCAACCAGGAGTCGTGATGCCGCGCGTCCTCCGGTCTGCTGACAACTAAACTAAAGTTCGGCGTTACGGGAGTGTAAAACTAATCTTCGCGTGCTGTCCCTCCTTTCGGCCGACCAATCCGATCCAACGGTGCCCAACGTTCCTCCACTTTTCCACTCCTGCAGATAATACATCGCTACTGTATACCCTTTGTCCCTCGAGAGATACGAACCAGTCAACTGACTATAACCGATGCTAGTCAGTCAATCGACTAAACAGACACGGCAATGGTAATCACTTGTTTCGCTGCTATAAGTGCCATGTGGCCCTCGATTCTCGTTGATAGTCAAATCAGTCGGTATAAAGAGACAAACATAAACGCACGCTTGTTTTCTTGACTAGCGTCGTCACTTATAATCAGCAAACTTCTTTAAAGCTGACACGCATTGGCATAATGCTATTGACTATTTTGATTAATCTTCTTAGTCTGAACATTGATCTTACTACTTTGTCTCTGATTTTATCCAAAGTTGATTCTCCGTCATTCGCAGCACTATGCTTATACACAATCGATTGGGAACAATGAGACTATCAAATCGTGCTGATTATTGTTAGAGCGTCTGCTTTTTACTATGTTGACTGCAGGGAACGATAGCTCGTCGTAGTCGAGGTGAACCTTGAGCTGTTACAAAATAATTTATTTATAACTTGACATAGATCTAATTGATTTGTTCATTATTTATCGTTTACTTAGGTTACTGAAAAATTTATTTGTGATTTTTTGGGAAAAAATACAATAATAAAAATGACTAGCATGCGCATTTGTCTGTGTACACGTGCGAAAATCATACCGCCACTCATTTGGGAATCTGCCTCCATCCTGAAAGAGTACTGTGCCCTAATTTTCCTTCAGATAAACTTCGGATAACCTTTGACCTCCGCAGAGTATTGGTATTATCAGCTTCTATCGCCTTTGACGAAATTTTATGTATTTCTAGTGTACATTAGTAGTTAAACGGAAATCTACTGTTCAATTGAGACCTTCATACTAACGTAAGCTTATTCATATGTACTCAAAACATTTCCGGGTTGATATTTATTTATTTTTCCTCCAATTAATATTCTCACCGCGTTCAACAACAACTGACCAAGATATCCAACTAACCAGAAGGAACAATGATCGGCAATGATTCGTGCGATTCTGAAGTCGACTTTCCGTTACGCGCTTTGTCGACAACTTCAACGAGTTGCGATCAGTTGCGATTCGATCCCGTCGGATTCGCCTTTACTACTTTACGTAATATTAAATAAGCGGATTTTTACGAGAAACACAATTTCCCTATTGTATTATTTATTACGTGGAAAATTAATTAGCGAACCATTAGAAATTTTATCGACAATATTAGTTATTCTCAAAGGGTAACCCTTATCCAGAAAGAATTGTACGAAGGAACGAATTAACGGTTTTGAACGTAATTCAAATACAGTTGAGAAACGTCAGTCGCTTCGGTAGTACCAGTAGTAAATCTCGAGGTGTCGAAACGGTTAAATAAATTTCACTCGTCTCTCAAAATAGACAGCTACTGATTAATTACAGCTTCACGCCTTTGAGGATAAACTTTATTTGCGTTAGTCATATAAAGAAGGGCGGGAAAGGTAGAAATCGAAGAAACTTTTGAAAAAAAAAAAAAGAAATTATAACCGTGTTGTCACGACGACCGATCGAGTGGAAATTGGCGGTAATGTTCACGAAGCGAGAACCGTAATGTCTACACGCTACGCCCGATATTGCGTAGGTTGTTCGCGTTTCTTCGAACGTCTACGTGGTTTCACGAAAAACCACAATAATTTCCGCTTTGGAAAAGTTTCAATGAAAGTTGCAAACAGGCGAGATGGTCTTTCATCATACGGACAGTTTGGTACTTGATTCCTTACCAAAATAACGGTTACTTCGACAAAGGATATAAAATCAGGACGATTTGAACAAGGAATAGGTGTGTCCTTTCCTGACGCACGTGAATCCCCATAGCTCCGTCTCACTCGCACTTATGGCAGGTATAGATAACCTCTAAATTCTAAACGGCTTGACCTTTCATAATTTATCGATTCCGTTAACGATTCTATGGATCACTTTTGGAACGTGTTGCTCATCTCTTGACAATATTTTCAAAAGTGATAAATAACTATTAAAGTCGCGCATAACCAGTATAGTATCTAACTTGAGCTGGACTGTTTTGAATCATACGCATACGTATACGTGTAGACGCATTCTGATCGATGCACGACAACGGTGCATTAATGAATATTAATGAAACAATAAGGATTCTACGCTGTGTAAAAAGTCTGCTGTAATAAAAAGTATCATTTCCCCTTTGTTTAATCGTCTACGGACGGTGTGAATCATTTGATCGTCTTGGAATTTTCTAAAGCTTATTAGACTTGCACATTCAACATGATACGGTCAATTCGAAAACAAGAAGATTTTTTCTTGTTATAATTCCCATAATTTAATTCTTTTAGCGAGCAGCCGTGAATCATTGCAATGTGGTTCGGAATAATAAGATTTGACTTTATTTTGACATCGGCGACAATAAAGAATGTTAGTATCGATTTATATGTTTTCATTCGTTTTATTAAAAATGTAAAATAGATCTAAGCGATCCGGTTATGCAGATATAACAAGGGATAATACAGTAAACAAGATCACGTTATATGGGTCACCCGCAAAATCATCTAATGACCTTCTCAGTTTCCTTAAAAAAAAAAAGATAAAAATAGCTCCTGAATCCTTCATGAAAATCTATGAAAATCCAGTCCAGGATGATGATAATGATGACGATTCTCAGGCATCATGATATCTACAGTAGGAAGTGTCTTCGATCAACTCCTGCGGTATCCATTCCTCAGCAGGTGATTGATTCGATAGGCTTGAAGCGTGACTCTCGACTTCCTTTAAAACACGAATCAAATTCCCACCAACGAGCTTCTTTATGTCGGACGAGGACCATCTTCTGTCTCTTGTGAGTTCAGCGAGCAGTAGAGGATAACCGGATACGTCAGGAAGTTCGGTTGGTGGACTGTTTTGATATTAAAAAAAAAAAGTGATTTTAATCAAGATGAGTTATAATATCAACGAGACAGACCTTGCAATCCCATCGTAACCGGCACCCAATCCAACGTGATTGACACCAGCCATATTTCTTATGTGATTGATATGAGCTAAAATACATATAAATGTATCTATATAACGAAATCATCGACTTTAAAGTATCAAAAATATTTTTTTTCTTCAGATTCTCCGGCACGCACCTATAACGTCGTACATGGTTGCCTTATCGCCACAACTGAGATGGGCACTGTCGAAGCTGATCATTACCAGACCCCCATTGAGCGACTGGAAGAAAAACACAAAAATGATGTCAGTCAACAAAGATTCCTTGTACATGAGTGGACAGGCACTACCTACCAAGTTTCGTAGCACGTCGTCGGGGACGTTGCTGGAGGAGTTGCAGAGCGTCCTGGCCGCGCTGTGAGAGAAAATAACAGGAGCCCTCGTGATGGCCATGGCGGCCCTCATGGTTCTTATCGAGACGTGAGATAGATCAACGAGCATTCCAAGTCTATTGAGTTCACGGACGACAGCCTTGCCGAAGCTGGATAGACCATCGCTATGAAAATCCAGGGGTGCATCCACATTGGGATCTTCGACGGAGCAGGAATCTGCCCTGAACGAGATAATGGGATGTTTCCATAGATTATTTTTTTTTTTTTCAAGGAATTTTTATGGAGTTCAAAGTTTCTTTACCATGGTGTATTACACGTGTGAGTCAGTGTCATGTATCTTGCTCCAAGAAGATGAAAGCTTCTCAGCACTGCCATTGATGCACCTATACTGTGTCCACCTTCGATTCCAACTAGACTTCCTATCACTCCATCCTTATGAGCCTTTTCTAATTCTCTACTGGACGTCACCATTCTCATCCTTTCGGAATATTTTCCAGTCAGTCTTCTGACTATGTCTATCTGCTCCAGAGTGAGTTGAACGGCATCTAGGAATTGAGCCTCGCAAGGAACGTATGCAGACCAGAATTGAGCACCTACGATTCCCTGTTGAAGACGTCTCAAGTCGGTTTGCCACTGTGGACCCCACGTTAGATTTCGTGAAAGATCCTCCTCGAAGGGAAAATTTCTGAGCTTTGTACTTCCACGATGTTTACGTAGATTCCAAGCGAATTCGTTATGACTTTAAAAAGATTTTTTTTTCATGTAAAACGTATTGTATAATAATTTATTATTAAATTCTTCTCACCCGTCTATCAAGGGTGTCTCTGATAGAATTCTCCGGACGACCTGAAGTCTCGCTTCCAATAAGTGAGAACTTCGTAATTCTAGTGCCAGTGGTAATCCTACTCCAACTATCAAGGCACAACCAAGGAAAAATAGGGCCACCATAACAGTCCATTTTCTGCGAGTACGTCGTCCTGGAAAAAAAGATAAGCAGAAATTCACTTGCTTCCGTTTTCTAGATACGACTATATCGGGATTGTATTTTATACAAAAGGAAATTTCTGTTACGTATCGACAATTGTCGGATCGTGAAATTAGCCTAACGTTAATTTAACGGGGTTGCGCTAGAATGGTGGCTGGAGGATCTTGCTATTTTTTGATAGCCGTCGAGAAATCATCCAGCCGTGAATAGAAATCATATCAAACCATTAAACGTCATTGCGAGTGTCATTGTGTTTCAACTGGGAGTTTATATAAATCACTCGATTGCATCCGGCGAGGCTGATGATGATTAGAGAATAAATAGAGAATATCATTAACTATTAGTATTATGGCGTCTGGCCATTCTCAGTTTTAGATATTTTTAACGGATCGATAGAAAGTCTTGGATTCGATTGTCGCAAGTATTCGATGGATGGTGACGTTGAATAACGTAGCAGACTCACTGTTTTTACCATTGTTACGCGAATGACGGTGAAAAATTTTAATCTTCCGTAATCCCTAGACTATTATGATTATTCGATGACTATACATCCCTTTTAACTTAAAGTCGAATTCGATTATTATCGATATTACGATTAACCACCATCAAGTATTACGGTCTGCTATCAGCCGGTTGACAAATCAAGGCTAATTAATTCCAATTCCATGTCCTTTTTTTCTACGCTAAACTTTTCTCTTCTCGTTCGAGTGAAATTGATCCGTCGATTTAGAATGCACGATTAGTCGTGCGTAACTTCACTTTGACAACCCGTTTACCATTTTATTCCTGCCATTTGAGGAACTCGAATTCTCTCTTAATGGGAAGCCTAATAGATAATCGAGCGGGAACTATGAATTGTCTTTACTTTTTTCATTTTCACATTTTTACATATAACTTACTGCTCTCTCGTGAATGTTCTTTATTGTTCTTATCCATGGAGGTTGGTATTACTGTATCCTTAAGGTGGTGGACACTGTCACCGTTTGGCAATTTTCGTATGAGTTCCGGTGAGGAGAGTTGTAGGCATGTCTGAAAGATGACAAACAATTATATAAGATTTTTTAGAATTATTTAAGATAAGACAAAAATAATTACAAACGTTCTTATTTCTGAGGTAATTAAATGAACACGGTAAATATCCGGCTGATGATTCCTCATAAAGGAAGAAAAAATATATATATATAAATACACGTTCGTAATAAGAATCACTACCTCCAAAATGTCCACTTCTTTTCGTCTAGGTGGAGGCGAATGATATACCATTGTGTCCTTACTACCTCCATAGAGTTCAAACATGATTTCTCAGCCAAAATCTTTTGCCACCTGTACAACGAGGTACGGGGTAGCTTTCTGAATACTGAGGGAGCGTCATGACGCATGCGTCTCCTGTAAGCCCATATCGACCAGTGTGTCACATTTCAAATCCAACAAATTCTTTGTTTATTTTTCATTATAAGATTTGTAGTTTTATGAACCTCGCTATTGGTTGATTACGATGTGATAAGGTTACCCAGAATTTACGTCAAAAACAATAATTATTTGCTTTATACAAGCACGTCCATAGGTATTGTTTTGAACGTCGAATTAGGACTCCAATAAGTCTAAGTCTAATGTTTATGGTTGAGCATAATAGAATTATGCCAAGTACAATAGAGGCGTTGTCAGATGTGAAATGAAATTAATTTATATGATAGGATTAGAAGAATATTTTTTGTATAAATTAAAGTTCATAGTGAAATGGATTTTAATGTTTTTCATACGATACCTTCTAATGATACTTTTTTTTCTGATTCTTATTATTTCGGTGATTAGGTATTTTATCGTCCACATTCATAAGCTTGTAATCGATACGTGTAACACGAAGATGATGAAACATCAATTAATAAGTTTAGCAATTTGGAGTTCGATGACTGTTTTTAAAGAATAAATCATTGTTTATCTGGCAATAACATTAATATGCATTAAAAATTGAGAAGAAATACGGCCAAAGATGTTTTAGGAGACGGAGAAATCCCGCGCGACAGCGCGCGCTATTCGAGCAGGAAGTAAATGGAAATGTCTCATCCGTGATGCGCAGTAAAAGTTGCGCTGAAGTCGACGCTGGCGCCGCTTGCCGCCATATTGTTTGCGGTGTTCGTGCACGTCGTTACTACCTTGCGTATCCTGTGCGTTTGTCTCGTGCGTCTCCCTTTGGGAAATTCAGCAAAAATTTCGCGTAAAGGCAACATGAAGAAGACCAAGGACGTGTCGGACGAGGACGAGTATTCGGCAGACGATCCAGAAGAAGTGGAAGGCGCTTCAGAAGAGGAGTGGGCTCCTCAACCTGGTGCTGAGGTAAGCCCACGCTACTGCTACGTTTTACTCATTTATTAAAATTCTCATGAATTAGCATCACGCGTAACTCAACGTTCAAGCTAAAAATTGGAGTTTAATAACCTAGAGAATCGTAGGAGTGGCTCCATGTGCAAAAACAGTGGCCATTCCCATTAGAAATTCATTGGGTATTTGAAATGCCTGCCCTTTCATACATTTCAAGCAGCAGCTATTGTGTGAAGTGCTATATTACAGTGTCCCTGCGATATGAATGAACCCACTGTTAAAAATAATAGGGCTTATTTATTCAATGGTTCGCAAAAAATCCCAAGTTCGCCGTGCTAATTTACTTCGATTTACGAAAAATCGAAGCGATGTTCAAGGTGGTTTCTGTGGCTTCCCGTACGAAGCCGTCAACCACGCTACACGAAATACTGTACATTTACAGCCTACTTATCGTTTGGATTAATCATTGTTAAAGTGTATAGTAGTACGTAGATATTAAGATGATTTTGGCATTAAATTTGAGCAATGTTAGAACGTAGTTTTATGCAAACATGGGTTTATATTCACGTCTGGCCGCGCGAGCTTTTGCTACTATCATTGCCGGCCGGCCAATGGCGCCGGCTATTCGTTATTTCAAATTCCCAACAACACTACTCTGCTTACTGGTGGTTTCAGATTTTTTATACTCATCGTTAACCCCGGCTATCAAAAATAAGACATGTGATACGTTTTTTCGCTGTTGCATTTACGTAACTTCATAAACCAATAAGTATAGATGTTTTAATGATTTTGGAGTCATTAAATTTAAAAAAGAATAATGATCAACCACTGAAGGTGACTGTTTGCAACGCTAATAGAATGTTCTTGAAGTATAATTCATTTGTTTGCATTGACATTCTTCTGTTTTAACCTAATTAAAAATGTTGTCTCAGTGCCAATCGTTCTGGCTTAGAGGCTCTCTGTGAATGAACTAGTTGATCATTCTTTTTCTAAATGCGATTGCAATCATTAGAGTGTTGCTATTGTTGTATGCTATTACAGGGTGGTACGAAGAAAAGACCACAAAGAGGAACAGCAAAAAAGAGACAACACTCTGAGGAGAAGGAAGAGGAGGAGGAGGAGGAGGAAGAGGAAGAAGAGGATGAGGAAGAAGAAGATGAAGAAGAGGACGATGAGTCGGATTCAGATTCGGGGAAAAAACCCAAGAAGAAAAGGCGTGCCAAAAAGGAGGATGAGGATGAGGAGGATTCAGATAATAGCTTCAACGAATCCTCTGGGATACCACCAAAAGACTACACAGTAAGCTCAGCATAGAATACATTTGTGAATACTCATAAGATTTTCAAACAATACGTAACTAAGTGGATATTTCATTTTAGTCTGGGGCATTCGTTGTTGCGAAAGCCGATGTTGGCGGAAACACGGATCCGACATTGTGGAGGATAGACGGAAAGGCGCTTCTTCAAAAATTCTTACCATTTAAAGAAGATGACAAGACCCTGTACAAAAGCACGTCCACAGTATGTCCTAGTTACTTTATTGTATTACATATCGCAAAGGAATGAACAGTTCTCGAAGGATCTACTACTTTTTTTCAGTATTCTGGTTGGTCGGTGAATAACAAAGACAAATACTTGGCGGCGCAGGTAACTTTTAAGGTGCAAAATCGAAACGAGACCATCGTCGAGCTCCACCTTGATCAACAACAACAACAAGAAATTGTAAAGTAAGTCTATTTAGCAGAACTGTGCTTATTTTAAGCTCGTACTTCTTATAGTGGCACACATTATCGCTTATCTCTTTGCAGGGACGAAAAAGAGGACTAAACTTTGCACGAGTGCGTTCTTATCTGTTTATATACGTTTTAAGATACACACTAAGAGGATCACAGTTACACAGTGACGCGCAACGCAACACTCAAAAACAGACACCCACACACAACAGTTACACCAATGCAGTTGATGAAGTGTTAGTCTGGCAGATTCGTATTTAATGTTAAATGAAAAATGGAAATCGGATGGACCAGGCAGATCTGATCTGAAGGTTGAGGATAGCGTAGGTCACGTTTGACTGAGTTTTCTTCTGAATACATAGATGTGTCCCTTCTAGTAGCAATAAAGCTATCCTGCAAGGCTGTGTCGGAATCTCGAAGGCTTCCCTCGTTCGATATCATTACAGTCTGTCTACAAAGTTTAACCCTGTTTCCATTAAGTCACTCCTTACGAGGACAGGGAACACTTCAGTCAAGACCATTTGCGTGTTAGATGTCAGCCTTCTTTGAGGCGCAGCCTTGACAAATATTAAGAGATCTGTTGGACTGTTTCTCATGACTGCAGCACGTAATCGTAAGCTACTAACAAATGATCATGATGGCGTGAATTATGACGAAAGAAAAAAAAACTTCCAAACAGCAGACATACCCCCTGCACATTTATATTACTTGACCGGAATTAGGGTGAGCCGCTTGCTCGAGGGAGCTTCGGAAAAAATCCTAGTTATACTCGCGCTAGGTCGCGTCAATGGCTCCTCCCTGTTGTGGCCGCCCTAATACCTTGATAGAATCATGTTAATTCAAAAATTTCGTAATTAAGTCCCGATGACTTTTTGTAATTATAACGATAATCTATTCTAAGGCGATGACGATGGTGTTTCATTTGCGTTCTTAATAATAATTATAATGGAAAATAAAAAAATCCTGTCATCACGTGAATTTTACTTGCACTACAGTAGGTGCGGTGTTATTATTTTTTTTTATTTTCTTTTAAAATGATCAACTCCTTGCCATTATTTTTTTGCCATAAACTTTTTATTTAATGCCTTCACAATTTATGTACACTAGATATCTTAATTGCCATTGACTTTCCACTTTGAAATCCACACGGCAGATTTGTTGTCTTGGAGTCGAGTCGGTTGCAAATTTATTTTCCCTATTCTGTCTCTTTTAGGTAGACAGGAAATTATGAAGTAACACATTTTTCTCTTATGATTTAGGCATCTCTCCTTCACTTGATATATTCAAGCATTTATAATTGGTCGTGTGCCACAAGTGTCTCGTTTGGAAAACAGAAAAACACTTTCTTTTGGAGCAAAACTCATTTCTACGCTTATCATCATATTTATATTGTGATCGTAAGAGAAGCCACCAGTTATATCACATAACGTATTCGATAATTGAGGAATGTTTGAAGATTCATTCTTTTATGCGAGCTAGATTGAACTCAAATTTGTAGTAATTTGTTTTTTCAATTTTCAGTCAGAACAATATCGTTCATTTTGCTCGAGATTGTTATGGAAAAGGTCGTTGCGCATTTATGACTTGCGCTATTTAAAAGGTATATTAAAAATGACATTAAAAGATTTGTACATAAATACATCTCAATATTTTCCAAAGGCCTACATTTTCTTTATTTTTTTTTTGAAATATCGCGAATTTCAAAACTAAATAAATCACGTCAGGCTATTGTACCACGTGAAAAAATTTCGATTGTTGTATGATTGTTATTGATAATAGTTTTCAATCGAAAATTGTACAATAACGATATTATAACTTTATTTTTCTACCACTTATCTCATTATAAATTATTTAATTAGGCAAGATCAAAAATAGGAATTTGAAGACCTCTAACTTTAGTACCTATAATCATCTACGTGACTATCTCACTTAAAATTTAGATGCTGATCCCCTCTCTTTCCTTCAATATTCTTTTGATTTAATAACAGAAATATATTATATCTATACTCTGGATCTGGAGAATTCGCAGGATCTCTTATACTATAAAAAATAATAACAATGACATTAAACTGTTTTCATCGGTACAATGTAACCGCATCGATTGATAAATTCTACATTCCAGTAAACTCTCAGCGTGTTCCTAATTATCAATCTGCAATAATCACTTTCGTTTACGTACATTCAAACATAATAAACAATAGAGGTCTTTTGTAGATATAAAATAAATCATCTATCTGGATTGTTTGACTATTTCTCAAAATGTGAGAAACGTCCGATACTTTTGAGCATCGGTGATTCTTTTTATTCACGTTGAGTCATGCGTGGTCCATTATCAAGAGAAAGAATGTGACCCAAAACGCAGATTAATATTAATCAAAAAGATTGCCGTGCAAAATTGTTTTGTGCTCATGCTCTCAATTCCGTTAGATTGTCTGAACGATAATATCAATTTAATCGTCTGGCAACTTTATACGTTATTACGTACTTCTCACTTGCTTTCTTTTTTTTTTTTTTTTTTTTTTTTTTTTTTTTTTTGTTGTGCTTATCATGCAATTTCGGTAGGATGTCGTCAAACAGTGTATAATGTACTCAGTGCCAGCGACTCGTGCATCTTTCTCAGCTTAATTCTTTTTGCGTTATTTCTTATCTCAAAATCCCGGTTCCATCCTCACAGATAAAACGCTGCTTAACATATCACGTATTTCCGCCATTTCTTGTCTGCTCTTAACTACCATGTCTTCGAGTTTCTTATTCTTCTGCATTATTTTTTCCATCTTTCGCCAGCAATTCGTACTATTGGCATGGTAGCAACAGTCCTTGAAAGTCTCGTCGTGTTTACATACCTGTCCTAGTTTGTCGCTCTTACAACAACGATGACGTTCCTCGGGACAGCAAAGAGTATCCCTTCTCATGACTTCATCTTCCTCTTTGTCAGAAGGACCACAGATAGTAGATGATTCTAGATCATCTATCACAACCAGTTTGTCTTTAATGTTTAATTCGGATGGATTCAGTCTATCTAGTTCAGCGTCAGATGAGAACTTTAGGGGCTCATTCTTATTATCCGGTTCGCTCGACTGTGCGATTTCTGGTTTGCTGTCATTCTTCTCGTCCACTTCCTCGGACTCTAGTGGAATTATCCGGTCGATACACTCCAAACCACAATATTCTATAGCATCCGCGTCGCTGATTCTTGCTTGTCGCTTAAGACTCTTCCTTCTATCCGATAACAAACTTTCGTTGCTAGTTTTCCTCAGTGCGCTTTGCATCACGCCATCACTAAATCTCCGACCTTCGCCTTGGATACATTTCTTCTGAGTTGGGTTAGGCTCGCAGGCGCCATCACTGGCTCTTCTAAGTCCGGAAGCGCTCTTCTCAATATTTTCCTCGTCATTTGCCAATGTCTCTTGTCCTCTTTCACTCTGCGTATCGTTGCTAGCAGCACAACCGGATATAACAGTAATTAAAGATTCTTTCTGCTCCTCGCTATCCATTCTCTCCTCACTAATATTTACTAGATCTGACACTCTCTGATAATCCAGGTTAAATTCCATTTGCTTCCGAGATAAATCCTCGGTTGACTCTTCGTCAAAAGACAATAGTTTTGTGAGTCTTTTTTCGAATTTCCTGCTGGGTGCTTCATATTCGTCATTGATCCTGTTGCTACAACTTGGTCCCGGCATTTTGTCCATCATGTTCCCCTTTCCGTTATCATTACTTTCGTGGCTCCGATTTGCCTCTGAATTTGATTTTACGTCTAATCCTTCCATTGCGTGTATTTCTATTAAATCACCGTCGCATCCAAAGGCAAATGATTTCTGTCCTGTAACACCAGATTTCATCTCTTGCATTATTCACTGCTAGTGTCAATCGAGTGAATCTATCAACGTGATACATACCTATTATCATTCGCTTGTTTCGCATGTCAGGACTCTTCGAGCGTGGTCTGTCCAAGAACTGCCTGTTATCGGGTGACAGTACGGAGAGCCGTCCTTCCTGTTGCGTCGGGCTGTATTGCTCGGAGCTGCTGTTGTAAACTGCATAAGCATCCAGCTCGTGACTTTCGTGTTCGCGTAGACGCTCCATGATCTTCTGCACGATTTCTGAAGGCGCTACATACGGCGAACCTGGTGTAGAAAGCAATGCCATTTTTTCTCTCTTGCGATTTCTGATAACGGAGCAAATCCAAACTTAAATATTAACTTGAATAATCTTGAAAGAATGCAAAAAGCAACAAATTAGCTAATAATATAAAATGTATACATGCTACTATATATACATATAGATATATGTATACTTGCTTAACAAACAAAGTATAGGGGGCTATAAATAATCGTTAATCGCTGAGATTAAACTGCATAGGTCAAACTCGGATTAAGTAATTAATTACCGCGCTATGGTGTAATATCTTTCGCTAGAATTTCATTATCACTAGAATTCAATTTTATGGCGAATGTGCCAGGAAAAGGAAGTAGTAAAGTTTTACGAAGCTCGACTGACGTTGAGATGTAATTGTGTATTTTAGCATCTAGAAATAGATAGGATTACGTTGCAGGAAATATAATGGAATAAGAGTCGCTACTGATCCATCCAAAGGGAGATGATTGTCAATCGGACTGATTGTTTTATAAATTTGCTACAGTCGCTTCGAAAAATATAGTCAAGGGATCGCTAGCTCTACGTACAGGAAGTATAAAAAGTGAGAGAGTCAGCAGAGAAGTTAAAAGCGAATAAATTCTATTTCTGTGACCGACGTGTTTTTAAACGTCATTCGGAACCGATTGGTACCCACTCCACAGAGTAACGTAAATGTAACATTAAATTTGGTGACGGTAGATTAAGTTATCTCGCACGTGCCACAGTACACAAACAATTTGCATTGTGAAAACCATAGACGGAATGAGTTCTCGTCACAACACGAAACCGCTTGGATAAAATTAGGCAGACGTTACTCGAGCGCAACTTAAAAAAACTTTAGCAATGCACGTAAACGACATGTGTATCTCACGACATCCATCACAAGAGGACTTACGAAGTCGCTAGATCCTGAGTGTCTACGATGTGGCATTCGTGTGGGCACGCATAACATGCCATCGCTTCCTATAAAAGCAGCATTAGTACATCACCACAAACAATAACCAATGGAGAGTCGGATGTCCGTTTTGATTTCTTAGATTATCCTGAGACAAGGACACTTTTTTCATTTGTATCGCTTTGATTCTGATGGGATATCTATGCTTTTGCATAGTGTTTTCTGTGGAGTTAAAGTGAAAGTTGCTTAAGTGATCGATTATTCTTGAACCTACCTGTTAGACCTCGATAGCCCAATGATGCTGAGTCAAAGGATTCGCTAGTTTCTTGTTGATGCTTCAGGAAGTCGTTTATTGCTATGCCTTTTAATTTAGAGGGTTGTAAAAATCTTCTGGGAATCCGAGAGAGTGGACCATTTTCTTGTGGACTACTTGGACAGCCCCCAAAGCCAAGACCAAGTAATATTGCTTCGGGATCTGCTTTTCGTAATTCCAATAAGCTTTCTACGCTGCTGCAATGACTGCTATCCGATTGCAGACTTGGATCTCGAACCAGTCTGTTGTACGGTACTGAGCTGTGGAAGCCACAAATTATTTTTTAAAGGTTCTTAGTGAAAGATTAATGAGGGAATAGATTAACAAAAGATGAATTCCTGATAATTTCTCATTTTCTAAATATTTCTATTTCTCCTTTTTAGTTAATCATGAAACTTATCTTAGTATGACTTTTAAAAATAATGCGTGTACCTAGGTACTCCCGTCATTGTAATCGCAGGCGAATTAGGAACACTGATAGGCGCTGACACTGTCATGCTTGGGTGCTTTATGTAATCTCTTGCAAATGGAATATCCTTGTTACAACCAGGAGTCGATGGTGGTGTTGGACTGTTAGATGATATATCTGGCTGTTCCGCTGTATCTGGTACATTTGACTTGGCGGGTGATGGAATTGAGTCAACCCATTGCTGAACTGGGCCAGTTCTACGTCTCATTTCCCAAATTCCACGCAACCAGTCTGCAACTCGTACAATGGCTTCTTTGCCTACGTTTTCTAAAAAAAATGTACAATACTTACGTTCTTTAGAAGGTCATTATAAATATATGAGACTCTATATGATTCAAAAATATCATTACCTATGGATTGAGTTTCTCTATACTAACTCATAGACTAAACATATAGTTTGCACCTCAATATGATTCCAATAATTCAATTTAGCCAATTTAGAACGTTAGCTAGATTTAATGGCATGGGTCTGTAAATTGTACTTGGTGTAACAATTTACTAAGATGTTCGGTGTACCTACATCTTATACATAATCCAGAAAAACTAACTTGTATCTTTATTTTACTATATCTTATCAGACAACAACTCTTTTGTATTTATTTAAATTTAGTAGCGATTGAATAACAGATAATTGACAAGTCAGAGAAATAGAGTCTGTAATCTAAAGTTCCAAATTTTATTATGGGCCATTTGCTAAGGAAAGACCCACATTTTATCAAGCAAACCTTGAAATTCTGTTTTTAGAGGTCCATAAATGAGATAGTAATTATTATATACAGAGTGTGTAAAAAAAAACTTAAAAATGGGAATTTCCTAAGAGCACATTACTTCAACGTTTACTAATCATAGAAATTCCGGGTGCCTTTCTAAATTATGTGACGTCCCATTTCGGAATATTATATATTCGAAAACAAATCAGTAACAATTTTAAATATTCAATATTTAATACACTCAAGCATTTCACTTATCACTTAAAAAAATTTCAGTTGAAAGCGATGTTTTGAAAATACTTGGCTCACCTGCAAATTTGAAAAATTAAATAAAAGAAATATATATATATATACATATATATGTATCTCAAAAAATGTGTATAATATTTACACTAAATGCAACGTCACGACGAATATCGTTGATAGAATTAAAAATTGCTAGAATGATAATAAATGGTATTTTCAAAGAACCATAAGCATTCAATACGAAATAGTACCTGGATCCATTTCCTAGCGGCATGCACAAACAGATTTGTCGAAAATAATCAAGGTTGTAATTCGCACATAAGTACAGATCCAAACGCAGGCACACATAATGCGTTTGCGTACGATCGCAATATAGAATAAACAGTTCTTAATGGAAAATTGTAAAATGTCGAAGAACCTAATGTTTTCATAAGCGAGAAAGGCAGTAGTTGTTTCTCTTACCTCTTCCAGAAAATTGTCACAGGTGTACGTGTCCGATACTCACTGGCTGTATTAAAATCTCTTAAATAGCATCCCAAGAAATGAATCGTGTGACTGAACGAATCGTGTTCCGCAGAGCGATTAAGGACTAGAACGGCCACTTGTTAAATGTCCCCCACATTGTGGGACTTTACTACAGGAACGGTCTCATCGGGGATAAGAGTCTTGGCACACGAAGATTCCCTTGTAAGACATTTGGTGTTAAAGAATTTTTACAAATTGTATGAAAACTTGCAACTTGAGTGATATTCCGAATAATTCTTTGAAATACTTACATAGTATTTATGCCTGAGATCATTTACGCTTTGTTGACTTTTAACCTGGATACTCAGGGTGCCCAGGAAATGCTTGTCGTACCTGAACTCGTCATGCACCGTGAAAGAGGCAAGTGTTTGATGTGGCCTTGCCGATAATACGAATGCCCCTAAAAGCATTTTTTTTCGCTCTGTTTATGTCATTGCGGATATTCTTAGGAGTGCAGAAGGCAAGTTTTAATTACTAGAGCTAGGATATTCTTGGTATTGCTGCACGATTATCGACTGAGCTCAAAGACATTCGAGGCAATTCGAGCATATCATAACCTTCGCGGGATCACGTTAGAAAGTTGTGCTTGATAGGGGTGCCCTAGCTCTTAAGGATCATCTGGGAACGTTAATTATTGTAAAAACATCTTGAGAATGTCGGGGCGCAGTAAAAAAAATAAAGGTAAGAGTCTCGAGAAGAGAAAACGGCATGTCGTTGGGAAAGAGGAGAGATACCGTCAAGAACAAGACAGATCCGACAAGGAAGATGCTGAACCAGGTGGGAAGAAGCATTATTTTTGTTTAACCTCAACAGTTTGCATCATTTTATATTTTGTAAGTCTTTCAGAAGAAGAGGAGCAATGGCCTATTCCATTTCCAGTAGCTATGTGGGATCTGGAACACTGTGATCCTAAAAAGTGTTCTGGAAGAAAATTAGCTAGACATGGTTTAGTCAAGACCCTCAGACTGGGTGCTCGTTTTTCTGGTCTTGTTTTGACCCCAGTCGGTAAAAAGGTAAATCATATTACCTAATGATGCAGTGCCTCTTCATGATTTGTAAAGTGTAGCTTTATGATTACAGTGTGTAAGTCCTACTGACAGAGAAACTGTTCAGGATTATGGCTGTGCTGTTGTCGATTGTAGTTGGGCAAAATTAGATGATACTCCATTTGCTAGAATGCGATCGCCTCATCCAAGGCTTTTACCATTTCTTGTAGCAGCAAATCCAATTAATTATGGAAAGCCTTGTCAGCTAAGTTGTGTTGAGGCCATAGCAGCAACGCTCATCATAACTGGATTTGTGGAAGAGGCTAATTTTTATCTTGGTAAATTTTCTTGGGGCCATGCTTTTACGGAGCTGAATTCTGAGTTACTGGAAAGTTATGCTGCTTGCAAGACTAGTGAGGAAGTTATACAGGCTCAGGAAAAGTTCCTGGCTGATGCAAGACAAGAAAAAATTGATAGACATGGTAAATTTTATCAATCTATGCCTCACAGGTTGAAGTCAAATACCTAATTAATAATTTCCTTTTGAATATAGCAATGCCTGACTATCCTCCATCTGAAAGTGATTCAGAGGAGGAAGAGGAAGAAGAGAAAGAAAAAGAAAGTGAAAAGGAAGAAATGTCAAGATTGGCTACAGACAAACCCAACTCCAAAGAAGAAAGTTTGAAAGATCAGAATTCATAAACAGAATATTTTTATATAAAATGCAAAAATTCTATCTGTTTACTGTAAATACATCTCGAAGATCTAATATAAACTAGGATCATCCGAAATACAGTTTAATAAACTACAAGATTTTTTCATAAAGCCATTCTATGAATATTGAATGAGTTCCTCATGTATATTTACACCGTTACCATTTGAGAGAGATTTGTGATAAGACAGTATATAATTTTTCGCCAGATGACGCTGGGGTCGAAGAGATCATGGAGTCTGGAGACCTGGAAGGCATGCCTGACAGGAGGCTCAGCCAGTGCACAGCTGATGCTTCCTGACGTCATTCAAACAAAGCCATGCGCGGTTGGTCGCGGCCGCGAACCAAAGCTGAGAAAAGCAAACATTCAGCGTCCGCGAAACCGAGTGGCGCGTACCGTTGCTAGCTTGACGTGTTGTGCAGTCGAAGTACGGAGTCCGGACTCCGAAAATTGGCCGTCCAGGAGACAGCCTAGGGGCTCCGAAGATGCCGTTCATATCGAAGGATTGGCGTAGCCCTGGGGAGGAATGGGTCAAGACGGTCGAGGGCTGGGAGAAAAAGAAGATCCTCGAGTGCGCCAACAACAAAACGCTCTCGCTTCTTCTGCGGTGAGTTGGTGTTCGCGGATCCTTTGTTTTTAAATGGCAGCACCTTCGGTTCTCTTCGGTACGTTTTGGTTTCCGGGTGCTCCAACAGTACGCGGCACAGCTGTTACATTGATCCGGTCGACATCTTTGTTTGTTTACAACGAGTATACGTGGGCAACACACATGTAATTCAATGCGGAGGTAGTCATTGCAAAATTATACTAAGAAATACATGTATGTATCAGGCACCGCAAAGAATTTCTAATAGACTGCAGAGAAAATTCTGTTCGTCGTTGTAGGACGTATAAGAATTGTTTCTTTGATTTTTGACAAGTCTTATAAAGTCTCAGGAGTGTTGTCAGTAACTGACAATATTTGTAATCAAAGACACGCAATACTGCCTCTTTATTCCGAGGCTGCGTACGAACGACGTAGTTAGCAGTCAGCGAAGGACGTTGACGGAAATTTATTGCGGGTCGTTAATCCATTGCCATTGATATCATCGATGTAAATTAACTTCTTTTTTACAGATCACACAGTCTATCTGTTCCATAAACCTTTTAATCGGATGATTATTCCTGTAACAATGGCTTCCTATATACAAACACTCGTAGTTGCGTATATCCCATGAGATGCATGGGACGATGCACACGTCGAGGACAGAGCTCAGGCATTAATTGAAGCGCCTTCACGGGACCGTGAACCTGCGCAAGCCAATAGCACAGAATTCAACTAACTCCTCTCTCGGTCTCTTTCCGTTTCGCTCTCTTTGAACGTGCAGTTGCGCGAGCAATACCGTGACCAAAATATCTCCTGTTAATTTCATATTGCATATTTTTCTCTCTCTTACCCTCCTTCCTCGTTTCTTTTGTTTCACGCTGCACGAGAAAAGCAACAAAGTCGACGATTAAAATAAGTAAAGAAGAGTAAACTTTACAAGGATGCTTCCGGCCCGGCTGTCTACTGCCCGTTAAAATTCATCCATTACTCAGCACCTTAATGCTACTCCGAACAAACTGAGTAACACTACAGTCTGCTCTCAATAGAGTATATTTGAGGATTCGAATACCAAATTCTAAACGAAAGTCTTCTCTCTGTCCTCAATATATTTGATACTCTCTACGGTCTATGAAATAGCCCAGCCTTTCGGAGTTCCCTTTGGATATTTCGCTTTGACCCGTAAACTAGGTCACGACCTAGCTAACGCGGTCTGCACCAATTTTACTATCCCCGCCAGTCGTCCTGCTGTACGCCACTCCTGATAAGCCACCCTTATGTCCTCGGCATTATATACTTATATGTAATTCTCACAAATGGACTAGTGAAAAATTTGAACGTACCAGAAGTATGGGTGTGGACTTTAAAACTGTCAATGTATAATGTACGCTAAATGCAAAAGAAGTCTACCAGAAGACGTTTCTTCTCTGGTAAATATTCGTATTTCAGATTCGTAACACGTTCTAGCTGATCGTGCACCAGATTACATAATTCAGCGGATTAACGGCGTGAGGTATCTACATAACTCATTGGAGAGATGTAAGCTCGTTACTGCAAGGTCTCCTGGCGATGGGAGAGCATTTTTTAACATGATTCGTTGAACCTTCTCTGAAAGATAATGGCGAACGCTCTTTAGGAGGATAATGGTGATGACGACGATGATGATAATGATGACCAGGATTGTATTACATTAAGATATTAACAATGGGTGAATAACCAAGGGGACTACTAGGTCGTACGATGCCAGTGGCTCTGGATCGAGAAGCTAAATCGTTCAGTAATGGCGTCTTTCAGGAAGGTCTCTTCGCAGTCTATTTAACTTACCATTGCGCACTCGCCCACGTGCTTTAACTCCTTTGCTTTTCTAGTCTTTTTTTTTCTTCTCTCCTTTCGAACCAACGGGAATGGCTCTGAGTCAGACTTGGAATATACATAAAGATACACGAGTCTCAGTCCTGTCTTGTCTTGCCAAAACTTTTAAATTAACTCTTGCTTCGCATAAAAGAAATAGCATTGGCTATATGACAGAGAGGAATTATTTATAAGAAAAAGTGAAGATTGTGCATAGCCCAAGCAATTTCTCTTATCATCGTCGATAATTTTCTGCTATTAGTTTTACGACCTAGGGAAAGTCTACGTCATATTGCTATTCTTGGGAAGGAAAGTTTATGTCGTCTCACCGAGAGCGAACTTGCCTGGGTGCAGTTGAAGTAACTTCGTAAATAATCCTTACCGTAATTGGAATGACTAGCTATTACTTTGAAGCTTCGTTCTAAAGGAATTATATTCTAGGTGCATATACCTACGGCAATGGCAGCCGTTGGGATAGCAGGGCCGGTACTATATCCAGTTTTGCTGGTCGCCCGGCGTCTCTTTAGTCAAGGAATAAGATATTCCTACGCGCATGGGAATGGCTACTCGACCTGTACCGGTGTTTGATTCTAGACAGTCAACGAACCGATCCGAGTGACGTCATGCGTGCAGGCACATAGACACTTTTTGCGGATTTCCACTATACTAGAGCGGACTGACGAGTTTACGTCTTTCAACAAAAAAATAATGGTCGATACACTATAACGATCGGTGAACGGAATGCTGTATACGTGATTAATCGAATAGTAGGACCTTGTACGGTTCCTTGTGACTTTATTGGAGATGATAGGAGAATTAATCGTTTTTTTTGGTTTTAGCGGGGAAAAAGATGGCGACAAGAAGGAAAAAGAAAAGGAAAAGAAAAAAGGTAGGCAACTAGATAGTAAAGCTCTGGTGCTGCCAATCGATTTTCACTGCTGCGTTCGACCTTAATATCGCATATTGGTTTCAAGTTCATTGGCGAACGATGGTGGGAATTTAATAGAAATTTATTACGGAATTCCACGATATATAACAAGATCGATCGATTCAGTCGATCATTGATTAATGTCGCTTTGATGTCTTTCAGAGACAGCTCTCCAGCCGCATTGTCACATTACATTAAAATGCACGCGCGAGGTGAGTAACTTTCCTGCAGTAGATATTTTTAGACGCAATCTCTACGCACCGGCTAAAAAATTGTATATGGTTGTACAAGACCCGGATAGTCGACAGAGATTTTCCCTGATCTTTCTCGTATCTTTCTTCGCATAAATACGTTTATTCTATGGGACGCATTCTCCATTAAATTGCAGATCGCTGGTTTTAATGGACTCAGCGACGCCCTTAAGAGACTTGACTTCCTGTCTGCTGTTCACGATTGTCGTCGATTCAACTATATCGTGCGACTCCTGGATCTTCTGGTCAATCACCGGATGGGTGGATTGAGCGGATGTGCCCAGAGAGTTTTATTCAATATGCTAGAGGAGGTCGCCCTGGAAGGTTAAATTCGCGATACTTGAAATTTTTACTTTTATATTTTTGTCCTTTTCACATTTCTTTTTTTTCTTTCTTTTCGAACAGTATCCTTGTCGCAGCAACAGACTGGACGGTTACGTCGTCTCATTGAGAGGCTCCGTGCTTTTAGTGCTGGATGCTGCTGGGGTGGTAGACCATTGGGTTCTGTTATTCTTTGGGAGAAACACAAAGCCGCTCTAGAGAGGATTCTCCAAATAGCATCGTCCATCACGATCACTCAGGTACCACTTGGGATGCATTTGAGAAATCTTGAGAATCTTTGTGGATCATTGACTCGATGGTAAATCGTAGCCTGACGAAGAGCAGCAACCACAGTGGGCTGATCTTCCTGCGGAGTGTCGTCGCGAGGTACTTTTACGATTGAGTGATCCTCGTGACATCGAGGCCTCCTCTGCAGCCTGTGAGCATCTTGCTGTTCTTGCTCAGGAACAGAGGATCTGGAGGGAATTGGCACAGTATCACTTCACATCTCAGCAGATAACGTCTACGCGTCAAAAAAATCCTGGAAAAGACTGGAAGACTATATTCACTATGGCGCGAAGGTGTGCGGAAACTTTGTTAAATTCATTCATCCAGATAATATTATTTGCGGTTTTAATACCTTTTTTTATCTTCCTAAATTCAGATCCTTTGGATTGCGCGAGGAGTATGCAGAGATGATACAGCTGTGTCGCAACTGTCGCTGCCTCTTCTGGCGATCTCTGGGACATCCTTGTATCGCAGATCAGGATCCCGCGTTTCAGGAGAAGCTGGCGGATGTCGATCAGGCTTCCCTTCACGTTCCAATTCCTCCACAGACCTTCCTCAAGTTCTTCTCGCTGTAAAGACTTCGCTTGGGGATCTAAGAGGAACGTAGAGAAGAGGGGTTGCGCAAAGATAAACGGTATGGCAGAGCGTCTGAGAGAAAAAAAGTGAACGAATGAATGAATGACTAAAGGCATAAATGATATTAAAGGCTGGTAGGAATGACGTTCCGCGCTTAGAGGATCAAAGCTCCCTGAAACGTACCTAATTGAAAATCGAAATCCGAGGCTATTTCACCTGTGACAGCATCCTATGAGTTAGGGCGATCATGATTACCAGATTTTACGTAAAGTTTCCTAGCGTCAATAGACAAGCGTGACGCCTAACTTCTCATGTAATAACGAACAAACAAACAAAAAAAGACAGGAGAGAAAAGGAAGAAGTTACGATTGTATTCAACGGTCCAATATAATTTCCACGGAAACAGTCACCAGGAGTATCCGGATTCCGTATCACTCTGGATATATCGTATTTCAAGAGACACTGTTATAAGAGAGCAAGTCTATTTGAGTCTAATTCATTTGAATGAGAGCAAAAATATTCCTTCCATAGTGAGATTAGCCATTCGAACGAGGTTGCACGTCCATTGTGCTTTCCCCATGTTGTTCTTGTAATTTTTTTTTATTTTTTTGTTTTAAATAGTCCTATGTACAGTCACCACGAAAAAGGGAACGTGAGGATACTTCGGTCCCAGACTCGCGATTCTACTTACCAGTGATCTGATGCGAAACTGTAGGCTGCTAAGGGACAATCTCAATGGTGTGAAAGAAGGAGAAAATGAATCTAAAAAAATAATCTTCCCGTGTATCTCGGTGACTGTGCAATAATGGTAGACCGGTGTACGCTAAATGCTTGTGCTCGAGACGTTAAAAAATGATTATTCTAACTCGCGACTACATACATGTGTATTATCGAGCGACGGAAGGTTTACTTATAAACTGATTCGTACTTGTAAGTTTGTGATGATTTTTTAAAATGCTTTTGGTAGTTCTGTTTCGCGTATTATTCCTTTTTTCATATCGCGATTATATAGATTTTACGAAAAGAGGTGGATCGAAGTGGATGGTTTGTCTTTTGTATTTCTTTTTTTATTTTCTTTGTAGGTTCTACAAATCTTCGTAAATTTAAACCAAACACTTGAAACGCCACAGTCCTCCATTTCTATTCCGTCGCGAAAGAATCGGGTGTCTTCATTTTTTGCATTTACCTATAGTATTTTTTGTTGTTATTTCATGCGAAATTATTTCTGACTTTTCGAGATATTCCGACGTGGGATTTCTTGATAAATGGTCGGAAATGAAAAGTAAAAGATAAGGCAGACTTAAACAAATTCGAAAACTTGTACGAGGTGCTCCAGTTAAGGCTTTATTGACGAATTATCCTTACACTTGGACATCCTGTATATTCTGTTTACAGAGAAATCCTATTTATATTAATTAGTATACACTTTATTATACTTACTGATTTAGTGTTGATAACAATCGATCGATTCTTTTTAAATGAGTTATTTTTCCGTATATATATACCTATACTATACGTGTAACCACTATCGTTGATTGATTGGAAAAAGAAACATGTAAATTATACTGCCAAAGCGAATGCTATTGCATTTACGTGAATTGACGTTCGTTATGGATTTTTGGTTCGTTTTGAAAACGAAGCGGCACTACAAACAATTATCTTTTTGATATTTATATTTGGTTATGAAAAATAATTTAAAAGAAGAAAACTGTTGCATGACATATTATACTTTACTAACCTAGTCATTACGTAGGGTGACCAAATAACAATTCGTTCTAAGAGACGAGGGAGGATTCGATAATTGAAATCATGAATTTTGGCAGCTCGCTATATATTCACGTTATAGCAAGAATACAAATAATGACGATCGCGCATCATGAATAACATCAAGTAAAAATTCGACTTTGTCAAGAAAGATAAATATGTACAGGGTGTATCCGATTATCTGGATAATTCGATACACCATGTAAATAATCTTTAAAACGATCCTGTAATATAGAATTATCATTATTTTAATTACTTAGGCCAATATGTAGCGCAGTGTTGTGCAAAATGCTTCGAAATAAAACTTTATTTAAATATACAACTGTTGTTTCCTTTTTCTTGTCAACGATCCAACGTCGATCTTTTCCTGTTTTATCGACAGTCCGTATTTTTTTTAATACAGTTCATTTTGTTGAATAACTATTTCTCCGTCGTGGCGCCAGGATCGTTCCTTTATTTTTCCAATCAGTTATTTTCTCGGTTGGCATTAGTTTCTGCAGGGAATATGTTTAAGTCCGAACGCACCCGACTTTAGGACTAGTTACTGGCACATCTCCTCATTGGAGGAGTCAGCCATAAGGAAAGGAAGGAAGGAAGGAAGTCCGAACGCCCCCCAACGGACAGATAGGGAATTAATTTGGCGTAAGGGACGCATGCGTGAGTAGTAGCCAGTGACGCTGTGTCCTGTGTGGGAGCCGCGACACTCCGCGGTCCGCGTTTAATTTATTTCAAGTGTATTCAGTTAATCGTAGAAAATCCGTGAAAATGACCACCGCACCTCATAGTAAGAAGCGCGTCTGCTACTACTATGACAGTGAGTACAATTTTTTACAAATTTTATGCTCCGTTGTGGGCCCGCGAAAACTCCTACACACACGGTAGGGGGGTTGTCAAAATGTGTTTGTCGAATCCGCGCTCACATCACGTACACAAAATTTATCGTGGCTTGGTGAATATTTCATCGGTTTCTTTGATATAATTGTTTTTTTGTTGTAAGGAGATTTCTGGATCTTATTATTTTCTATAGAAAATCTAGAGTAACACGGTTTTCCCGGGCTAATGCACGCTTTTCCTGACTGTAAGGCGAGAGATTCTCGGGTGAAATTCGCGCTACCGTAGTTTACGGACGATAGCAGCGTCGGCCATGCCTACTGAGCTCCGTTGTTCACTTGAGAATCTTGTACCTTAATCGTTAATATTTATTACTACTCTTGAATATTCATAATATTATCGAGGATCTTTTATACGATTGCCATAAACTTTGGGTAGATTTTATTATGGGGCTTATCATTGGTTTATTGAATTATATGATATCGGATTGGAATAAAACGAAAACAATATTACTCATATTTTGTCCGATTAATTATATATTTCATGCATTTTTGTTATTTCGACAGTTGCATTATTTAGCCTTTGAATACTTATTTATGAAAAGTTTTATATTTGACTCATGATTCAATGGTTTATACTGTTTTTGGTGGTCTAAGGCCACAGAGTCATGGGTGACGGCTGCGGTTGACCGTAGTTTATCAGCTACGCATCCTTCACACAACACACGCGGCGCGGGAATTCCCATTCGATCATTCAATCATATTTATTATTCCTTCTTGATTTAATTAATTAACACTTATATGCGAAAAACGTAACATGGATCAAGCTAACTTATATATTTCTTTTAGGTGATATTGGTAACTATTATTATGGGCAAGGACATCCCATGAAACCGCACCGCATAAGGATGACACACAATTTACTTTTGAACTATGGACTCTACAGAAAAATGGAGATATACGTAAGAATGTTTTTTTTCTTACAATAATATTTTAATCCGTTAAACTGTTACTTTGATCGCAATCGGTAATAGGATCTAACTTAATATGCTTATTTTCTTCTTTTTTTCCAGCGTCCACATAAAGCCACTGCCGACGAGATGACAAAGTTTCATAGTGACGAGTACATCAGGTTCTTGAGGTCCATCAGACCAGACAACATGTCTGAGTATAATAAGCAAATGCAGCGGTGTAAGTATTTTGATACTGCAGTGTAGTTTTTGGAATAATTATTACAAGTTAACAATAAAATAATACAGACTAACTTTGTTCAACAGTCAATGTAGGAGAGGACTGCCCAGTTTTTGACGGTCTCTACGAATTTTGTCAATTATCAGCTGGTGGATCCGTAGCTGCAGCTGTCAAATTAAACAAACAGGCCTCGGAGATCTGTATTAATTGGGGTGGTGGATTACATCATGCAAAGAAAAGCGAGGCCTCTGGCTTTTGTTATGTGAACGATATTGTATTGGGAATTCTGGAATTGCTCAAATATCACCAAAGAGTGTTGTACATTGACATTGATGTTCATCACGGCGATGGCGTCGAAGAAGCGTTTTACACTACGGATAGAGTGATGACTGTCTCCTTCCATAAGTATGGAGAGTACTTCCCTGGAACTGGTGATCTCAGAGATATTGGGGCTGGAAAGGTAATTTGAATAATTACAAGTTTTTAATTACCTTCGTTTTCTTGATAACTAATCACAAGTGATTATCATTCTTATAGGGAAAATATTATGCTGTCAATATTCCCTTGAGGGATGGTATGGATGATGAAAGCTACGAGTCCATTTTTGTTCCAATTATTTCAAAAGTCATGGAAACTTTCCAGCCCTCTGCTGTAGTTTTACAGTGCGGTGCTGATTCCTTGACAGGTAAGTCATATTTTAAAAGTTTAACTATGTAATCTGAAAAAAAAATGAGGATAATCAGTAATGTTGAATCTTCTTCGTTCCTTAGGCGACAGATTGGGCTGTTTCAATCTAACCGTTAGAGGCCATGGAAAATGTGTCGAATTTGTAAAGAAATACAATCTGCCATTCCTAATGGTTGGTGGTGGCGGTTACACAATCAGAAATGTCTCTAGATGTTGGACATATGAAACATCCGTAGCTCTTGGTTCAGAAATAGCTAATGAACTTCCTTATAATGATTACTTTGAATACTTTGGACCAGATTTCAAACTTCACATCAGTCCATCGAATATGGCCAATCAGAACACACCAGAGTATCTCGAAAAAATAAAGTAAGCAATCTTTATGAGAACTTTAGTACTCATGGCTTCCATCCGAAAACCATGAGTACTAATGACAATACTGGCCGCGGAAGCCTAAAATCTCAAATTTATGAGAACTTCTTAAAAATTCTTGAGACTCAACGTTCTACGTTCTCCATTATAGGACCAGGCTCTTCGAGAATTTGAGAATGTTGCCACATGCTCCAGGAGTACAGGTGCAGGCTATTCCAGAGGACGGTGCAGCAATAGAAGATTCTGAAGCGGAGGAGAAGGTCAACCCTGACGAACGGCTGCCTCAACGGGACCTGGATAAGAGAATACAACACGAGAATGAGTACAGTGACAGCGAAGACGAAGGCGAGGGTGGCAGAAGGGACAACAGATCGTTCAAGGTAACTTACAAAAGTCTATTATTTTTTCGGCATCATTGATTTATTGTCTGTGAATGAAGATAATGATAAAGTAAATGATTAATTCGAATTATTAATCGTCACTTCGACTATTTAGGGCTCCAGAAAGAGGCCACGTCTGGAGAAAGGTCAGGAAGGCGTCGAGGGCGACCTGAAGAAGGAAGACGACATAAAGACCGAGACAAAAGGTGAAGATTTTTCCATGTTGTGTTAAGCCACGGTTGAACCTGGTGTACAACTTGTTACATTTCACCATCACTCATGTATCTTGATCATTTTATAAGAGAACTTGAAATTTTTCACCATCTGCGTACTCTTTAACATACTCTGTAGTATTAATTAAGCGAGGACGCGGACCCGCGTATTCGCACAGAAAACCACGAAGCGTGAGACTTCACTGCGCCTCGATACGAGGAGAGACGGTAAGTCGTGAAGTAGCTCAACCTCGGAAATATATTGTTACAGAAAACGAGAAGGATGACAAGACGAACGCGACAAGCGAGGAGGCGAAGAAGGACGGCAGTGCGAATCCCTGATAGGCGATGGTTCTCCACCGCTTAAGAAATTGAGATATATCTCTATTCAATTCAAGTCTAGATAAGCGTAGGTAACATAACGGATGCAGATCCGAGAAGCTGTTCGGATGCAGCCAGCCCACCATACGATGATGAACATAATCTCTAACCTTCACTTACCTATCCCTAAAGAAGAGATCCTATCACTCTGTACAGCCTAAAGCCCCAGATTTTTAGCATGAACTCTCTAACTTATCCATTATCGTATTCGTCATCTTGGTGGACGAGCAAATAACATCTGGATCAGCAAGCGACATCACGAGTGCATTCATGCCTCCTGGTGCGCCTAGAAATTGAAATCGCGGTTCCCTTTCCTAATCTAGATACAGATTCTCATTGAAGTCGTATTCGACCTGAGGATTTATCAAATGGCCAGGAGCATTCCTCATTTTAATCTATGTTTATTATCAACCTTTTTAATTGAAAAAGGATACATTTGTCGATACACCGATCATTTCATAAGGAAATTATATGCCGATTTTAGAACTGGTCTGTATCCAGTTTCTTCGTACTCTCGCTCATCTGCACGAATAATCGCGATCAATCAATCATTCGTCTCTCGTATCCATGTGGATTTATAGATCATTGATCTTTTTCGGCTCGTTGTATGATTTTTCTTGACTGAGCCGTGACAGGCCGACGCACTACTTGTAATACAAAGAAGGGGGAATTGGTTAGCCGACCGATTGTAGTAGATGAATTGTCGTGGGCACAATGAATTATAATTTTGTTTCCCAAAGCTGTCTGTACATAACATGAAGTCACCAATTATATTTTTCTTTTTCTTTTCGAATGATCTCCAACGTGCTATGATGTGACGTTTGTTTTTGATCTGTAACATATTTAATTTTTATGCGACAAATTTCGAGATTCATCAAGGAGTAAAGTGGAACGATGGATCACTTATCAAGGCTATCATTCGATATGCTCGCTTAGACTTAGCTGTAGTCCCTTTCTCTTTAAATAACGTTAATTAACAAGATGAAACTATTTGTGTAAATTTCAGTCATTCGTAATTTTGCAGCTGATTCGATTTTTGTTGATTGCTTTCCTGGGGCTACGAAAATAGAGCTCGACAGCGTTCAGGAATATGTATGAGCATTAGAGGGTAAAGAGTTTATTAAGAAATCATTGTCTACGTCTCAATTTGTTGGAAGATCCTTGCAAATTTTATGATTCTTGAACGAACATCTATTCTGTGCATGATTTGTCAGATCTTGTCGATCAAACTAAAAATTTCGTAGCGCCAGGGCGCATTTCATTCCGACGTAAGTGAAATAAATATTTGCATGATCACAAATTTTGTCTTTGAAAAGAAAAAAAAAACTGAATTTCTCATTTTACTTAGCTGTAATTTCATTAATGATTCATGCAAGAAAATAAATTTCGATGTTGCATATACCTAATGTCAGTTTGGAGATAGATCATGACGTATTTATTTCCGGACGTGGTGTACACGAATGTTTTTAAATATTTATAATAAAACAATTAAGAAATTTACTATATAAATTAAGAGTCGTTAATTATTTCGCTTCCATTCGACTTGCAAGATGACAGGTGTTATCGTTTTTCGGCTTTTGTATGTAAACATGATTGTGTCTTCAAAATGGTGACATCTGCTGAACAGGAACTGATAACTCTGCAATTTTTATCGAACATGCTGAACGAGGATTTATTATCATACGAATGACGTATTTTCAATTACGTGTCGTATTTACAATGATAAAAATTTGTTTAAGTGGCCACGCGTACTTTTGCTACGAGTATATTCATTTCCATAACGAATCTTACTCTCATAACCTGTTATTTTACCTAAAAAATGTGATAACTTAATAATCGGCGGTTGCAGTTCATAATGTAGTGTATGGTGATTCATTAAGTATTGTCAAATAATAATTTGCCAGATTTTGCGTTTGCTTATGCGTATAATTCTATAAAACGAGAAGCTCGTATCTTGGAAGATGTAGAGCTCGAATCGACGGGCAGTATTTTGGTTTTTAAGCCCTAAGGCTAGTCGTAGTTTAGCCCTACTCCTTATATATTGTTCCAAAGATCAGAAATCATTATTCAGTTTTCAATGATTTGTGAGCATAATATTGGTGTACAAGATAGGAGAGAAGCTTCTATACAGTATTGCACAAGTTTGATGTGGCAGAAATTGTCCAAACATTTGATACAAGAGACAAAACATTCATGTTCTTTACGGTAACATAATTCCTGAAGAAAGTTGAAAGAAAAGCTACCAAGATGACTTCCCATATAACCCATGTAATGACTCTAGCAAATAGTATTATAGGGGTGAGTGTTCTTGCGATGCCATATTGCTTTAAGCAGTGTGGTATAATCTTGGCAGTACTAGTAATTCTGCTGTGCAGTGCACTATCACGTCTTGCGTGTCATTTCCTTATAAAATCTGCTGTTATGTCTCGACGGCGGAATTATGAGATCCTTGCATTCCATGCGTTTGGTCATATGGGAAAATTTATAGTTGAGTTATTTATCATTGGTTTCCTTGTTGGAACCTGCGTGGCCTTTTTTGTTGTTGTTGGCGATCTGGGTCCTCAAATTGTGGGTAAAATGATAAATAAGAATCCTGAAGATATTAGAACGAGTTTGCTCGTCATAACAGGAGCTTTCATCGTTTTGCCATTAGGCTTACTCCGAAATATAGACAGTCTGGCTGCTGTTTGTACAGCGACAATTGGTTTCTATTTTTGCCTCGTCTTAAAAGTAGGTAAATCATCGTTTTCCCTTATCCTTGTTCAGCAACAGATATTTTACCTTCTTTTTCTACGTGCAGGTGATAGGAGAGTCTACACCTCATGTCTTTGCTGGGGATTGGTATGATCATGTCTACTATTGGAGACCATCAGGAATACTTCAATGTTTACCAATATTCTCAATGGCATTGTTTTGTCAGACTCAACTCTTCGAGATTTATGAAGCCATTCCTAATGTGTGCCTGGAAAAGATGAATGAAGTAGTCAGAGGAGCACTTAATATATGTACAATGGTTTACGTATGCGTTGGTTTCTTTGGCTACATTGCATTTTGTACGCAGCCATTTACAGGTAAATAGCGCGTGGGCACTGCAAGTACTCAACGTCTTCATTATTTTAATTAAATTCTTTACAGGAAACATTTTGATGAATTTTGAACCAAGCCTTACGTCAGAAGTTATAAAAATGGGCTTCGTACTTTCGGTTGCCTTCAGTTATCCACTAGTCATATTTCCATGTCGTGCAAGCATGAATTCTCTGCTGTTTCGCAAGGTAATTAGGATTGATTGATGCGCAATACAACAATGTACTATAACTTTACTTGTTTTGCAAATCCATTTCTTATTTTATTGTACTGTTCAAACAGGCACATTCTCACGAATCGACGAGCAACTACATGCCGGAAATGAGATTCAGATGTCTGACATTCACGATTGTAATCGTTTCGTTAATTATTGGGATATTAATACCGAGCATAGAATTCGTCCTTGGTTTAGTTGGATCCACGATTGGTGTTATGATATGTCTAATATTTCCCGCAGCATTTTTTATATCTATCAGTAGTAAAAATACAAATGAAAGATTAGCGGCGCAGGTAAAGAAATAATATCAAAATAAAAAAGCCATGCTGTGATTTTCATTGATTGTTTAACATTTCAATAGGCTATTCTTTTTGTTGGTCTTTGGATAATGATCTTAGGCACATATGCCAATTTATATGCAATGGAGGAATCCACTAATACAAGACTTTTAGCGACGACCAACAAACCTTCCAATCAAATTAATAATGTACCACTAAGTCTGATGAGGGATGAAAAAATTCCTGCTATTCCTGACATACCAAAAACGGCTGAAATTCTTCGAGATGTTCATGGTACGAGTATCAGCTATTTCAATAATATTATGCTAAGTGTATACAACTGTGATGGTAATTACAATTTTGTTTTCATGAAATACCTTTCAGAAAAGTTAACCATTCTGAAGTTACCTGAAAAAAAGCCTGAAGATCCAAAAGAGGATGTCAGGCAAGAACCACCAATACCAGTAGAGAGAGTCGTGATTACCGAGAAGCCGCTAGCGGAAACTTATAAGACTATTGATATTTTGGGAGTCACACTTTTACCGAAGATTAAAAAAAATGTAGAGAAAATAAAGATTGATAATAAGTTGGCTGATGATAAGAAGATCGATGAAATGATTAATGAAAAAAGTAAAGAGAAAATTAAGAATCAAAACGAATTGCAAAGAAATGACAATTTGATAGATTCCGATGCAATAAAGAAGGAAGAATTGGAATTAGCTGCTGATGGCGAATTGGCGGATATTCAAGCCGCCGAGAGGCATAACAAACTTGAGAGAACTCTAGAGAAGCATCGAATTGAACAGTTCAAAATGATACAAGTTCAGAAGGAAATCTTGCAAGATCTCAAGCAGCGAAAACAGGAGTTGCAGAAAGAGCGCATAGCCAAAAGTGAAAAAGTTACGGACCTTCCTCCCGAGAGTAAACCTGAAAAAGCAGAAAATCTTAAACGTATCAACTTAGAACCTGTTGCCAGAACAAAGCCTAAAGATACGGATCCTTCGGAAATTCAAAAGAAGGCAGAGAAGTCTAATGTGAAAATGAATATTAGTGGAGGCAAAGGTAATGGGCAAGTGGTGGATAATCAGAAGGTCAATCAAAATGACAAGGCTGATAAGAGAGAAGCTCCCAATAAGAAAGAGGTGCCTGAAATAATTGCGAATAACATATCTGGCGCGGTAGAAGCTACTGCACAAAATTATAGTCATCAGAAAGAAGTCTTAAACTTAAATAAAACAAGTGCATCCGCCAAAAAACGACAGGGTCCCATATTGAGCGCTTTGGCTAGGAACATTTCGAAAGAGATGGCTCTTAGTAGTAATGATATTAAACAGTCTATCTTGATGAAAGACTCGAACACAATTTATAAAAATTCAGTTGTAGAAACGGAGAAAAATATTCCAGCCAGTGATGTGAAAAAACCATCTCCGTATTCTGTACCAATAGCGCTGATGATGAATAATCCAACAAGAAAAAATGACAATCCGAATGGATCAAACTTGATTGACAAAGAAAACGCTGGTTTTCACAGAGACATTCTGGAAGATCATGAAAGAGAGAAGAGAGACGTTGGGAGTTACGATACAGAGAATATCGAAGTCAAGTCTTTTGCTAGAGACGTAGTGCTTAAGAATGATCGCAAAATTTGTGATAAATCAACTGGTGATTCGGTAAAGAACATTCAAGAAAAGTCTGATACCACTACGGATAGTGAGATTTTAATTAAAACTAATATTTACTTATCAGAACAAGGATTCACCGATAACATGTCAGTGGATTCGAATGTTGCAGTGGCTACAGATTTTGTGAAAATAATAAAGAAAAGAGACTTGAAAGCTCTTCATCCTAGTAATAATATTAGGAAATAGTTATCTAGAGTAAACGTTTCCATGAGAGAGTAATATATTCCATAAAGATATTAAGTTACTTTATTTATTTAAAGTTATCAGATTAGAACATACCTGTACCGCGGTGATCTTATTTATATACATTGACAGAGCATTAAACTATTTTAAAAATTAATCATCCCTCTTCTCCGTAGAAGAGCGGTAAAAGGAGCGAGTTAAGTGAGAAATTAAAACCGAAAAAGAAAGAGGAAGCGAAAGAAATGAAAACTGAATAAGTGAAAAGGAGCTTAATAGTATAGGGGAGAAAAATTAGGTCAAAAGTAAAGACAAATATAAAAAAGAGTAGGTCACACGTATCCAAGAATCTGAGATGCATTTGGTTCCCTAGTACCCGTCATACTGTACATACTATTCAGCATTAACACGTTTAAAGTCCATCCATAAGATATAATCAGATTAGTTTTCATTCAAGGTATAAAATAATTGAAGATTAGCCGTTATATTTCATGAAATAATATTATAAACATTCTGATACCGTGGTACATCCTGCATAGGTATAAAAATAGATTATTTTCTATAAATGTTATGTGAGAAATATATTAAACAAAAGAAAGCGACTTTCCATATATTTTATTTCTTATCTTAGATATCAGAGACGAGTAAGAAGAATGCCAATGAGTCAATTTTCATGGTCCAAGTTTTAGTTCGACATCGACGTGCCACCTGAGGGGAGGGCCTCTCAAACCAGTCTCATATTTTTTTGATTGTCGAGTATATATAGTAATACTATGTGTGGGCAAGAGGGTGACTAGAGTAGCATATGCTCACTACCACCAGCACTGACCCGCACCTACTCCAAGTGAAGCCGACCCAAGAGCACAGGCAGGACTTTACCCAGAGTCAATTTTTGGGTCATTGTTTACTGCTTTTCTATTCGGCTGAATAGTATTTAAACTATTAAAAAGTAAAACAGCCCGGCCTATTACATTTATTTTTTTTAAATCTAAAATGTAAAAATGTTAAATCTAAAATGTAAATGTAAAAATGGAGGGGTAACTTAATGCTAAAAATTTGTTATGGATTTTAAAAGTAAACGGACCAACCACCAAACATTCTGAATGGACTACCAAATATTACCAAACCACCACCAATTTATTGGTACAAAGAAAAATGTCAAAAATCAAAGTAGGGGGCTAACTTAGCGGAGGTATAAAAAGAAGTACGAAAAACAGGCCCATTGGCAATCTCCAGCAATCTCCCTACTCACTCTGCCACTACTAATAGCAGAGATGAGTATCGAAATTGCCAATTTGAACGTCCAAAGTTTTGCGTTCGCGCACTAGAATTGTTGCGTCCTAAATAGGTGGCAGTAGTTCCTTCTGACGGAGGACTATGGAGGACATTTGTCAAATGCTCCAGGAGGCCACGTGAAGAGTTGAGACATATATGGGTTAAGATAAGGAAGATGGCAGCGAAAGTGCAACAGTTTGATCTACCTAGTTCGGCAAGTTCGGAAAGGTCAGTCCCTTCTGATAAGAAATGATGACCGCCAGTTATTTGATTCCTGCTTGAGCCCATTTATCTTATCTTATATTTATCGTACATGCTATTACGACTTTTGTTATGTAGTTATAAGCTTCAACCTCGTGGTTGAATTGTTGTAGCGATGATGCTGAACCTTGTTTGGAAGATCGTGAAGTCTTCTTTGCTGATGAGCAGCTTGAGGACATTGATCATAATCGACGTTCTGATGGAACCCCTACACCACAGTCACCTCGGCCACCTTCTACTGGTAGGCAATCGTTGCATGAGCGGTCTTTCAGAAATTCTTCATAAACGTCTTTATAGGTTCTCAAAAGTCACCTAGGTCCCGTAGACAGAGAACTACAAGTATGTCGCAGTCTAGTAAAAAGACTTCCGCAGAGTCCATTTTGCGTAGTAAGACCAGAACAATATATACAGCTGGCAGACCACCCTGGTATAATTCCGCAGGACAGCAAGTGGAACCTTTTGTCATAGGTTTGATTTAAAACACTTTCTTGACATATTCATAATATGGGATTAACATATATCAATATAATAGGAATTTGCGGTGGTAGTGCCTCTGGAAAGACTACTGTGGCTACAAAAATTATAGAATCTCTGGATGTACCATGGGTGACGTTACTCAGTATGGATTCATTTTACAAGGTAGTTTAAATCCATATACCACTAATAAATGTGTTTGTTTAGAAATTGTTTTTTGTAAGTTATAATGTATTCACAGGTTTTAAATGAGAAACAGCATGAGATGGCTGCTCATAATGAATACAACTTCGATCATCCTGATGCGTTTGACTTTGAACTATTAAAAAGTACTTTGCAGCGTCTGAAAGAAGGAAGGAAGGTCGAAGTACCAATTTATAATTTTGTTACTCATCGTCGAGAAAATCGTACAGTAAGTACATTATCCTTCTACACCATGCGAATAACAGTCCTTGAGCTGTAAAATGATATAAATTAATTTTCATTCATGAAGAAAACAATGTACGGTGCCAACGTCATCATATTTGAAGGTATTCTTACGTTCTACAACGTTGATGTATTAAAGGTAAGTATCGCCAACAAAAAAAAGTAATACTTCTAAATCAGTAAACCTTTATTCAGTCCCTTTCTTTAAGATGTGCGACATGAAAGTCTTTGTAGACACTGATGCAGATGTTAGATTAGCACGTCGCTTACACAGGGATATTTCCCAAAGAGGAAGAGACTTGGAAGGAGTGTTAAAACAGTACAGTACTATGGTGAAACCAGCGTTTTTTTATTACATAGCACCTCTAATGGTTCATGCTGACATTATTGTACCTCGAGGTGGGGATAACGAAGTTGCAATAGAACTGATTGTTCAGCACGTCCACACGCAGCTACAGCTGGTAAGAGTCTAGTAGTCAGTTATATATTATCCTTTAAAAATGATTCTATTCCATGGGAACACAATTTCAGAGGGGATTTAAACTGAGAGAAAAATTAGCACACTCCTACAGTGGACAGCCATTACCTTCGTCGTTGTATCTTTTGCCAGATACTCCTCAGATCAAAGGACTTCATACATTCATTAGGAACAAATATACCTACAGAGATGAGTTTATCTTTTATTCTAAACGACTCATACGGCTTGTCATCGAATACGCATTATCTCTTCTGCCATTCAAGGTATGACTCTTGATCAATAATGTCTGACTTCGTGCTCACGCTTCGAATCGTTCTTATTTAGGAAATCGTGGTAGAAACGTCCCAGGGTGGAGTGTACCACGGTAAACGTGGTGCTACTGACAAAATATGTGGTGTATCGATACTGCGTGCTGGTGAAACGATGGAACAGGCTGTGTGTGATGTATGCAAAGATATACGTATTGGAAAAATATTGATTCAAACGAATTTACAGACAGGCGAACCAGAGGTGAGTATCCAGTTTGGAAAAATTAAAAATCCTCAGATGTTAAAAGATATTTAAGGATTTCCCGTGATAACCTTTATAGCTATATTATCTGAGGCTACCCAAGGACATAAAGGACTATAGGGTGATTCTCATGGATGCTACTGTTGCTACCGGTGCTGCTGCAATGATGGCTATAAGAGTACTTCTGGATCACGACGTTGCCGAGGATAACATACTCCTAGTATCCCTCTTGATGGCAGAATCCGGGGTGCACACGATTGCCTATGCTTTTCCTCAAGTGAAAATCGTTACGTCCGCTCTTGATCCAGAAATCAATGAGCGATTCTACGTACTACCAGGAATAGGAAACTTTGGCGATCGATACTTTGGCACTGAACCATCGTCTATCGATGACTAACTAACCATATTCATTACATACTATATATTTATGATCCATGTATATGTAGTTACTACGCACGCGTAAATCGTGTACATAGAAACGTTTGTCATTACGCGTTTGCAAACTTTTCACAAATAAATCGTATCGAGTATACAGTGCATTGTATATGCTTTTCATAACGGTGTTGTACCAACATTAATACCGGCAGTGCTGGTACCGACATCGCCGGTCGGTCGCAGAGGACGATATCCTCTGGCACTAGCTCGTGAACGTCGCCAGGAATCTATATTCCCGCTAGGCTGTCCCAGAAGGTATGTGATGAGTTTATCGAGGGCTGCTAGCTCTTCGCTGGTATTTCCGGTATTTGGTAAACCGGAAGGTCGAGATCCACCGGGATGGCCGTGTACACCTAATCTGGGTACCTGGAATTCACTCATAAGGTTATCTATGAGTTTTGTGTTTAGAATTAAAATATTACCTCTTCCGGTGCATGTTGACCATAACTAAGACGCTGTACTTTTCGGAAGGTTTCATCATCCATGGCTTCACGTACAGCCTCGTTCAGTGTCTGCTCCAGAGCTCGTTGTTTGGGTTTACTCAGTGCATCGTAAAAGCTAAAAGTAAAATATTTCTTATATTCTACATTTTTAATTGTTAAACAAAATTGTAACGGTTTACCTAGAGTCCATGGAACTGTTGGCTCGCGAGTTGTTCTTACCGCGCACTACCGGTATATCGTGTTCCCAGAAGCGACGCAGTTCTGGAGTTGAAGTGTATGGAGCAGCCACTTCTTTGATCTAAATAAAAAGAAACTTTAGATGTTCAGATATGGGATTACGCATTGGACTGCATATCGCTTGAGATTCTAAGTATATTACCTTTAGGACTATTATAGCCGTGATAAAAATACACATGACATTGATGAAGGTCAAGCATGCACTTACTATACCATTGCAAAAAAATTCAACAGGCAAATATTCTGCATAAACGTAAGTATAGGAACTGTTGAAGTCTGTATACGATTCCCCTTTGATATGTGGCATTTTTATGGGGCTGTAGATCAACCAGATGCATCCCAGAGCCCAGAATAGACCCTGTGTCGTGACGGATTAATTATATTAAGAGTATAATACTTATGTATAAGGCTGTTTTGAATATCAGTTGTAATTTACTGACACAGTTGACAACAGGTGGTAACAGAGAAGCTGATATGGCTACTCCAATTAAAGGCCCATTACTGCCTTGCAACAGAGCCACTGCTACTCCAGTACCTGATGGCAAAGCCCATAGTACTCCCATCCATAGTGATCTATAATTTCCGCTAAGATAGAAATAATATTTAAAACATGATATTACATCAAGATGATTTGTATATTCAAATTATAATTTTTTTTTCTTACCGGCCTTTCATCTCGTCGGTCGGCCAGTCATTATATCCCCATGGCATTTCTGTAGTCCCAAGAATCAGTCCAAAGATAAATCCAAAAAGTATCGATAGAAATATTCCCAATAGTAAACTTTTCAATCCAACGCATTGTAAATCTCTGTCAGCTATTATAGTTCCAAAAGTAAGTGACATCACTGGACCCTAGGGAAATGAAAATGGAGTTAAAAATATTTAAATTTTTCGTTCTACTTTTTCCCGTTACCATTAACGGCGAAACCAACATGGCTGCTACGACATTTGTCGCTGAATTTTCGACCAATCCAAGAGCTGCCAAACAACTGAACAATTACAGAATTATCTTAATTAAAGAATGTTGGAGTAGTTGAAAAATTTGTTTTAAAGTGTACGTCTTACTCGGCTGTTAGAACTAGAAGTATATAGTCAAAGGTAAGATCCCCACCACTTCTTACTCCGTCTACAACTTGTTTCACTGTCAATTTTGACCGAATTGAATCTACGAAGGATGACCAAGCATTTCTGTCATCACTGACACCGTCAAAATCATCCTTGATCATTGATGTTCCACTTGATAAAGCACTGTATGTACATTGCGTAGGTATAACGCTAAAATGCAATTCAGTTTTAATATTAAATCTGACAGGAATTGATTTTTAATTTTTTAAACTTTACCTTACAATAGAATTCATTTTTCGTCCTATTCCCATTTCTGTCAAACAATGTATACAGTTTTCGCAGGTGTCCCCAGCAGGGACGGGAAAAATAACCTGGATACAATAACTTATAATTTTTAAATTAACAAAATTTATTGCAAAAAATCTTACTTACCTCGTAATACATATCTTCTTTATCTTTGCACCATACTACGTGCTCTACTCTGAGTTTTTTCAATAACTCATCCAGAACCTAAAAAAAATGTTAAACAGAAATGAAATTGATATGAAACGTTGTTTTTATCTTAAAAAAATTCATAATTTTTACCGTTTCCATCGAAACGAATACTGGTTCCTTCCGCAAGTGAGATGCTGCGGTTCCTCGAGCTGGAAGACGTCTTTTAGATTGAATTTCGCCATCGAGAGGAATGAGATGACCTCTTGTACGATGTAGATCGACATCCACCTTCACCTTCAATCCTGTCTTCTCAAGTTTTCTAGTATCTTCCAAAGGAATCCCAAAGACAATTTCGTACTCGTAACTCGCAGTAGGAATGCAAACGAGAAAAACTACACCGCCTGGCATGCTGATCTTGTTATCTAACCCTGGGTGACTATTGATGATCTGAAGTGCATAAGGAATTATAACTGAAGATAATAATTCAATTATCGACTAACTAACGACATTACTATTGGTCTAATAATAACATTGTTATCGTCCACAAGGAATACTCTAACGAAAGAGTCATTAATTCTTGTGAAGCTCCAGATTCTTCAAAAGAAACTAATACGTGGACGTACGAGGTAAGTAGAGAAAAAAAGTAAAAGTTGAACAGCTATTTTTTTTATGAAATAAACATTTATTTAACAAATCAACAATGTACAGTCTGAACTATAGTCTAAGACCACCTTTCGCCGCTTACGATGTACTTATGCCGGTCTACGTATTTCTAAGATCAGATAAAATCATCCTGTGCCATGAAACCGTGACGACCATGTTGAGTAACTCTTGATATATTTTGCTGATGGTTGTCTAGGTCATCACTTTATTCTCTATCGGAAAGTCACGCTATTGGACAATCGACCAATCGAAGAAACATCGTTCCGGTAGGGGTCACCAGAGTGGTAAGGGGCCATTTTAATGCCAAGGAACAATTTCTACCTAGGGTAGAATATCTCTCCTAGGCCCTTGTAATCCTCACCCTCATCATCATCATCATATTGATCTTCAAAGACACTTCTTGACACACTCCGCACTCTCTAACAAATCTTTCACTCTTGCATTCACTCATTGCCCAAATTCCAATTCCACAAAATGGTTCTATGTTTCTTCGAGCATCCTCGGGATCGTCAAATCCCCAGGAGTCGTTGGATCGGTGAAAAAATAGCATTCTTCGTCAGGTAAACTTGTTGGACGTCACTGACAATCTTGTGAGCTCGTGATCGTCTAGTCTGAGGAAGCTGATTCAAGCGATCGTTAATCCTCTTCGAAGTCGGAGGACTCCGAGGAAGACGTTATAAGTGCGGTCGAGAGGCTGGGCTTCTTCGATGAGGAAGCGAATGGAGTCAGACGAAGCCTCTGCGCATTCCAACATTCCGGTAAAGAGTGGGAGCCATTGTTACTCTTTTCTTTGGATATCGAATCGATGGAGCCCAGTTCCATCATGGATCCGCGTCTTGGTGATCGCCTCGAGGTTTCTGAGGAATATACAAAAATAATGTGCGTTATAGTCGAGTTATTAAATTTCAATTGTCGTTGACCTACCGCAGGCTTACCTACCCGAGTCTCTTAACGGAGAATAATTTTGTTCGTTCTGCAACGTCCTCGACTTATCGCTGTCTTCTTCTCCATCCTGGGATCCAATCCCACTGGGTGACGTAGCACTGTCCCTGCGGAAGAGACCAATCACTGATTGGAACTTAGGTTGCTCGATTCCACCTGAAATTAAAGAAATATATGTTACGGCAACTATAAGCAGATTGATTGGGATAACACGTCGTAATATCAGTGGCAAGTTAATTGTAGGATCCGCGGAAACATATCGTTTCTCAATAATCACCTAGAAAGGTCGCGGATGGTGAACTGTAGGCAAGGTACTCCTTGTTCGAACACCACGCGGGGAATTCATTCTGCTGTATTGGTTTTCCTGAATCGTAATCATCTTCCCTCTTCCAGGGTAGCATGGTTTCCGTAGCCGTTGGGGTAGTTACCCTGAAGCATTCCCCTGGAGAAATCAATTACTCAACCATTAAGAAACGCTTTAACGAGTGTATGGGCAAATTAGAATGACCATTATACCTTCTGATTCTCTTTGGGGAATTCGAACTAAACTAGGTTGCGTCTCTTGATTACCCGAGTCTGAAGAAGAAATAAATACGATAATTAGTAACAGTAGCGTATTAAATAACAAAAACCATACCTGAAGTTCTGGCTGTAAAAGTAATGGCGGACTCCCAGTCCTCCTTATTAGGTTTACCTGTCTCCCCATTTTCAGATTCGAACAACACGTCGTTCATATAGTCTGAAATATTTGAGAAAGTTCATAGCGATCCAATTTTCACCAAGCAACCATTAATCACCTTGCGAGAAAAGCTTTGTGCTGCCATTTTGTTGAAATTCCGGGAAGCTTACGTGATTCTGCTTTCCATCCTACGCAGAACAAATGAAACTTGTTAACGCGATTAAAAAAGAAGTGGCCGCATTTCACGAACCTTGGCCAATTTTTTGCTGCGTTTATGACGATGTTTGTGCTCGCCCATCATTCTCCTAATATTCATGTGCATCTTGTAGTTGACCTGAGTCGACAGATCTCTATCATTTACGGCGTGCCGACTATAACTCAAACGTCGATGCTAAAAATTGAATATAGTTCAAACTCGCCACTCTTGAAGCACCTGATAATAATAAGACTGATCGATTATATGTCACTGGAGAGCACTTACGCGCTTATAGGGCTTGCAAAGCTCCTCTGCCAGAAGATGATGTATTCTAGCATCCGTCAGGTCCCTTTTCGATGGATTATACTCCAATTCTTGAAGATCGATATTCCAGCCGGACTCGAGTTGGCTGCAGCTCGGACTAAAATTTATGAAAACACGGAGAATAAGGAATAAACTTGGATCATCAGAAGTTCCTCTCGACTTGTATTTTCTTTTACCTTCCATTAAATTGGCCAGTATTACTGTAATTTCGGAATATGGCAGACATACTCTCGGTACCGCTTATATTGCCGATAGTGGATGCATTTCTTCTTATATAATCGAGTGCGTCCTTCATAGCTAACTTTGAGTAAGTTTCCAAAATTTTAGGCTCCGCACCGCGATGATCACGCACGAGAAAGGGTCGAATAAATTTGTTGTCAAATCGTTTGAATCTGAGATAAATCAGTAAATTAGTAATGTCAATCGAGATTATTGAATTAGAAAAAAAAAATGTTACCAACTTGTCTCTAACATGATAATTTCCATGTTTTCCAACGATATCCTCGATACCGGCCATTATGTGATCCATGATCTATAACAACAATGAATTGAAAAAGCTTGAATAACATTGAAATACAGAGAGGATTAAATTCTATCAACCTACCCTTTCGTGAATCCTCTCGTTCATCGTTGGCTTCCTTTTCTCTGCTCTTTTTACGTTCAATATCTTCACCAGAGGTTTAATGGTGATACCCTAATAAGAAATCATAATGAATTACGAGAATCCAGAGACATTAAGAAGCGGCGGCGTGAACCGTTCCAGTATCTCGACTAACTTGGATAAAAACAGTGAAGTATATAACAGCAATGGTCGTTGTAACGAACATCGGCTGAAGTGGCACGTGTTTTGGATCGATTAATAGAACCAGAGCAAAGGCCACTGCACCTCTTAAGCCACCGTAGGACATGACAAACTTTTCGACCTTATCAAGTTTATGAAGCCTGAATTGATTGGCCAGAGCAGTCAGAACGATAACGCCTGTGTGAACGATAAAGAGGTCTTAAGTGAATTCTTCTGTATTAATTCGGTCAATATTAAATATGTCAAATAGATCTTTACCTATGATACGATAGACGGAACAGAAGAAAATTGTCATAAGGACGAACCACGTGTTCCAGACATGAGCATTATTAACAGTGGCGACACCAAGGAACATGAAGATAATTGTTTCAGAACTGCTCGACAGCATTTTCATGGTGTACTTGACAGTTGTATGAGATTTGTGCGATATATTTGCCTCGACGTAATTCTTCATGGTGATGCCACAGAAAGTGATCCTGCAAGTTCAGAAAAAAGAAACATAAAGTAAACCAAGGCTTAGGATGTAGTATACAAATTAGGAGAGTATAAGACATGATTAACAGTGATAAAAATTGCAATAAAGAATTTTAATGAAGATTTTGTTATCACTCACGCTAATATGCCAGACATGTGAAATATCTCAGCATTGAGATAAGCCAAGTAAGCCATAACGAATATAAAGATGGGTTCGATAACACGGACCTCGTCTGTAAATCTTGTTACGAAACCAGTCGCGAATCCCCATATCACTCCGATAATCGTACCACCAATGGCGACAACCACAAAGGAGGCCAGACCGGACAATATATCGGTATAGGTAATTCTGGAGGGTCCCATTTCGCTATAAGTCTCGAACATGTGATATAAAACCTGGAATATGCAGAGAAGAAATATTCAGATTTATTTATGGAATTTCATTAAATATGACGGAGACAATATGAGGTACTTGAAGAAATACTTACGACAGTGACAGCGTCATTGAGTAAACTCTCGCCAAAGACGACAATATATAATATCTCGTTGACATGGATTTCTTCAAAAACTGCCAAAACGGCAACCGGATCGACTGCGCTGATCAAAGCCGAGAAGAGGAACATATCCAGTAAAGGAGTCTCGCAGCGAAAGAGACCACTTTTTCCAAGAACCCATAAGGAAGCGCCTAAATTTCGAAAATATTGAAAATATTCTTAACAGAAATTCATCCGATAGATGCTTATAGACTGCATACTGCGCGATGTATACGCGAGGCAAAATAGTCGCTTCTCTCGTTCGTCTATTTATGTTACGTCTCAGAGACCTTCCAGTTGCCTGCTGTTTTAATTTTAACCGAAAACGAGGCACGATGTTTTCGACATTCCTTAATTTATTATCTGTAGTACCGCTGTACTCTGTTACTACAGTCTATGACAACTTGCCAATTTTCTGAAGGAGTGGAATGTTTCTTGTAAATCTGGAACCTACCTATCGAAAGGGTATTAAATATAGTCCCAAGAACAGCGAAGAGCAGTATAGTGCCGAGGTGGTCGAAAAATAATCTGTTTGGCATAAAGTAACCAGCATCTAAGATTATCGGCGGTAGCATGTACAGGAAGAAGGTGTCAGGCGTCAAAGGTGATACGTGGACGCTGTCTGCCTGGAAGAGCAAAACTCCGACGACGACGCCGACGACGATCAGGAGGCAAGACTCGGGGAAGATTTTGCTGAGCTTCGGCGTCATGTGAAAGCCTGTAGGGCAATAAAAGAAATTCTTGTGACGTTCCTCGGTTTATACACTCACACGCATGTGGTCCAATCAAGCGGTTACAAGCTGTTCTTTTCTCCAAAAGGATTGAACATATCAAATTTAATTTTCTTATTAAATGAGATAAAAAAGTTGATTGGTATGCAAAAACTTAGGAAATCCCTCCCTATGAGGAAATAGGCCTTATATTAAAAAAAATAAGGCCTCTTGTGGAGAAAGAGCGCCTGATTTTTTTACACATCAATTAGTCAATGCTCTTGCCCCATTAAAAAAAAAACTAGCTCGATATCTGCAATAGTTTCGCAGAAAGCATTTTGCAACACTTTATTTGAAGCGCCCTGTACAAGGTGTTCTAAGAGGGTAAGTTAACGCGCATGAGCAATAAGCGCAGTCCTCGTAAAAGGTGTTGTAACGATCCCTAGCAGAAAGTGCGTGTGGCGCGTACACCATTTTCTACTGATGTGTCATGCTGCGACGAAAACAAAGTTTTGAGGAATTTTGAGAATTATGAATTTAAAAAAATGTTAGCAAGTACCCCAGTTTAGCAAGATGAACTTACCGATCTTGGCGAGGCTGGCAAAAAATATCCATATTCCGATAATAAATGGTGTCTCGACGCGTTGGAATTCGACACTAAGAACTTCGTATTCTCGAAGTGGTTTTGTCGAGGATGTCGATGATAACACGGGATAACCGTCTTTGACGACTCCCTTGAGATTTTCATCATTACCTCTTCCAGCTATATCATCAGAGACAGTTCTCTCGATCGGTCCCATAGGCCCAAAACTCTTGCCAGGATATGGTTTTTGTAGATCTGTAGGTAAATCCTGATTATCCACGATTGGTCCGTGCATCGAGTTTTCCCCAGTGTCGACATGTCCAGGCGGTTCTTGTTTAACTTCATAGGAACTGGCATCGACGTGAACGAGATTGATAGAGAATAGACAGATGATAGCAGTGAGTAGATTGAAATCCATGACTAGTAGTGAATTCCTTCTTCTTTTTTAGATGATTTTTACGGTTTGTTTTTCCTTTGTCTTTCTCGCTCTGTCTTCCTCGGGGGTTGCTCGTACCCACTCCCCAATGGCTTAACCTCGCATCTGTCAAGGCTCGGTTAGCCTCTGGTTGATTCTCAACGTGTAACAAGGATCACGATGAGGAAAACAGTCTCGACGTTTGATAAACGTGTTCATGGCTTCCCATCGCGGAATGAAGCCACGTTCGATAAACTGCGAGAAAACGACGCCAGTACGAGCGTAGATGCCGAGGTTGCGTCGTTACTAACACTACTCCCTATTCCAGCCAGCTGATCGTTGCCGAATCCCGCGCAGGCGTCGCGACGCACCGATATTCTTGTCGCGTGTTTCTCTTGTTTTTCGTTTCTTCGTCATTCCTGTTTCCAATATTTTTGCAGTATAACTATATAACTTTATAAGCATCTTTGTTGCGCCGACTGTTGCATTAACCCAAGCACTACGTAATCCAATGAGAAGATACGCAAGTAAGATTTTTATTTCTTTTCTAAACATTATATATTTTGCTTATACAAATAATAATTTCTTTATATAAAATTTAAACAGTTCCTCGCTTGACGTCGTTTGAATTATTATAATGAAACTCGGATACTCCTCTCCCTTTAACCTTTCCATTTACATGATAACGTACGAATCTCTCTACCATTCTCGCTTCCCTCTCTTCGCCCTTATAGTGAATTGACTCGTATTCAACATCAACTTGAACTCTGTATACAGTTCCTCCTAGAATTCGTGACAGACGTATTTAGCAGGAAGAATGAATAATTTGTATTAGCAGCAGGATCAGAAGCAGTAGGCAAGACGACTTACCCGCTTTGAACGAGAACGCGTGATCCCTTGGTGGGCTTCCGTTTTCCCCATGTTGGTACAATTGCAAGTCGCACCATTCTAATGGATATAATGTACCATCCGGCTTGTAGACGTATCCGATCTTCAATCTAGGTAAGAGGAAAGTTCTGTATATGACGCGAGTAAACGATATTGCAGTTTCTATTTTCTAGAATTCATTGTCACGTTGTCACTTACACGGAACACGTGCAAGGCTGACATATAACACCAATGGACGCTGTGGTACCATCCTCGAGGAAAAGCATGTGAAATATATAACGGTGCATCAATTTCCAATCGCGTTTAAAGCCTGACAAAAAGGTATTAGATACATAACCTATCTTTGTTCCTAAAAATCGATCGAACGTACCGTAGCTATGATCACGAAATGCTTGACAATCCAGCCTGTACTCCTTGCCATCGAGGGTAACGGTGGCCTTCAGTGTCCCCATTTGTTCATAGTGACTCTGATGGGCACTGGGAATATAAATAAAGTGTTAAAAGCGGAATGACGGTGGGAAGAGACATTGAAATACGTGTATGTATACTTTTTTAAAAATTCAAAATATTCCCTGCTCCAACTTTCTCTAGCAATGGCGCTGCACATAGTCGATATATTCGAATCTGTGTCAAAATCGAAATATGGCAAATTGCTTTTCCAATCGCCGCGTACAACGACTTTACTCGTTTTATTGGGGTCGTCGTGGTGCCTAAAAAAATGGAGAGAGGAGGTTCAAAAGAAATTCATGAAAACGCACGATAACGCAAAGCAGGTAAATAGGACATTGATATCTTTTTTTTACCACATGTCTCCCTCGAATTCAACACGCCAATGCTTCATCGGTTCGATCGGAATAAATCGGATTCCTTCAGCGCCAAATTCATTTTCCCGGGCACCATGCAATACCGTATCTGGAATTTTACTACTGCACAGCAACCCTACTCCAGGCACCTGCAACCGAAGCTCAGTTTATCCGGACTGGCAGATATACTTGCTATGCTGCATCCTAGGAAGGACATTAAGGGTATATGACTTTACTAACAGCTACGTAAAAAAGTCCATTAACGACACCGCTATGACGTCTCTCGGCACCGCCGACTAAGTAGAATCCATCCTTGGTGGTGGCCATGAAGAAGACAGCATCGAAAGCCTGGAAAATGTTTACGGTGTTTCGCATAAAATGGTCAAAGAATTCGGAAACATTTTTTTTTACCTTCGAATGAGGAGAGAGCTTCTGTGCAACGTCCATGTCTGCAAGGGTAGGATGCGATTTTAATCCATAACCAGTCCGATTCACCCCTTTGGTGAGATTACCGATGAGCTAAAAAAATACTTCTGAAAAATCTATAAATTAATTTCTAAATACACGTAGCATTCGATATCTACGTGCTTGAAAAGCAGACACTATTGATGTCTCTCGTATCATGAAACTAATATCAAGATTATGACTGACAAGTGAATTAGAATGTGTATATATATATATTACATTAATAAAGCGTTACATAGTTAAAAGTTCCATAATACATTATGTAATAGATGTATAAAAATTTTGTCACATCTTATACAGTACTTACCTTCCTTGACAACATAATACAGTAGAATAACGCGTATTTCAAATAATACCATTTTCCAGGCTCCTTGTACACGCCGAATATAGGTTCCGGTTCCGGTTTTCCAAAAAGGAGAAACCCGGCCAATCCAAGACCAGCGAGTAAAATGATTTCGAAAAGCATGACAATTCCCACCGGATAAAACTTCTCGACTGACTGAATGACAAACTGTCTAAGAAAAAATTCTTATCATTTCTCCGCGATACGTCTTATCTCGTCAGAGTTCGCTCAAAAGTAATACATAATAATCTCATAGATACTTAGTAGTACTCGAATAAAATGAGTTGGTAAGAACGAAAAGCTAAGATCACCCGGTAGATAACAAAGATAAAGACATCAAGATCGATCCGGCTGTCCGTGACAGTAATAAGTACATTTCGTAGGGGGACGTCAGGTAGAACAAGATAAAATTGAAAAGAAAAAAAAAAGAGAAAGAAAACCATAGTGAACGCACAAAGAAAGAGTAGCGAGATGTGTCACGGATGATGGAAGAAGACATCGTTATCCCGAAGAAGCGAAGGGGAGAAGTTTGGTATTATTTGTATATCGGGGTAATATTGGCTAAGGGAGAACGAAGCGCAGGCGCATCCCTTCTCCATCCTCCGTACCAACCCCAGTGGCAGAGCCCCACGACCCCCGCCGCGCCTCCGCATCTCTTAACCCCGCGTCGCCCAATGAAGAAATTGATTCTGCGCGCAGCCGGCAGAATCATCGAACGGCTCTGTGTCCAACGTTCACGCGGTATTATGTAAAGGACGTTGAGGTTCGTTGGATCTCGTTATATTTGACATTACTGGCCAAAGTCATGAGATTCGAAATCGGCGGAGTGTACGTTACAACTGTACGCGTAACGGAGTCGAGCTAGTGAAGAGAAGGCATACAGAGGAAAGAAGGACTACGCGGACGAGGAAGCTCAATGGAACTGTACATCGTCCTCCTGGTTCATATCGTGGGTGAGTCCTTTTCGCGAAAGTTACGATCCTTGGACAGGTTGCGAATTAATGGAGATTTTACACGGTGCCTGTGTCGAAATATTTTCTTCCTCCGAGGATAAATTTGTTTGGACCATTTTTTTTCGGAAGAGACTCGGGATTGAATTTTATTTTTGATAAGAGATACGATTCCGAGAAATGTCGTTTCTCGAGGAATCTTAGGACGACAGTAATTTTAGGGACGGTGGGAGGTACATTTTTTTTTCTTTTAGGAATTTGCACGGGCTTGAAGGATGTGAAAATTCAGGTACCCACTGCCGTGAGGAATGGCGATTCCGCGATCCTGAACTGCTGGTACGATACCGAGGGTGACACTCTGTATGCTGTTAAATGGTATAAGGGTCCCAGAGAATTTTATCGGTACTCGCCGAAGGACAATCCGGCAGTCAAAAACTTTCCCATAGGCAGCCTCAGGGTGAACGTGAGTGAGAAATTGAATGTGGTTAAACGGGGGGTCGTACGATTTGATGATTGTCGATTTTGGGTTTAAACTTTAGATAAGCGAAAGTAACGCTACTCAGATAGTACTTAACGATCTGGAGTTGGATTCAGCTGGTACTTACAGCTGCGAAGTGTCGGCCGATGCACCTTCGTTTCATACAGCAATAGCCAGCGCCGTGATGAACGTAGTTGGTAAATATGATATTGTGAGGAAAAAAAAAATTATAAAATTGTCTAATCTCGGTAAATATTTTTGCACAGAATTGCCAAATCAAAGACCATCCATACACGGTTTGAAAAATAAATACCGTGTGGGAGATATGCTGCGTGGAAATTGTACATCTGGTAGAAGTAAACCAGCTGCGAATTTGACCTGGTACATAAATGATCGTCAGGTAAGAGATTATAATTATTGTATAAGCGATAAAAGTTATTGGCACTTTCAATTTATATAATCAGTTAACCTGTACGGCTGTACAGCCGCACAGCTAAACAGCTGTACAGCTAGAACGGCTAATTCTATTTACCGAAAGAAATCCGCTTAGTTTAACCTGTTGCGACTTACCTGTGCAGCCCCTACAGGCCTACGTACGCAGCCACAATCCGGTCGCGACGAATGACTCGGTGTGGCAAGCTTCGCAAATAAGTTTGCAATTTTTACTAACACCTCAGCACTTCTCTAATGGCAAATTGAAAGTGCGTTGTAGCGCATCTATATACGATGTTTATTGGAAAAGCACTGAAGTCAGTGCCGAGGAGGACAGACCTAGGACAATTCATTTTGAACCAGCAGCGACAATAGTGGGAATAAATTATCTTCAGCCGCCGCCTAATTTTCAAACCGGCCAGAGAAAACCGGATGGACAGGTCGATGTCAAAGGTTAGAATAAACGATTATTCTTAATCTTTCAATTAACTTCAAATTTTTAAATTAAATTATTATCTCCTTTGATTACAGTTATTGGAGCATCGATGAACTTGCAGCCGTCATTACGATTCGTTTTGGAATTGTTTGTCTTTGTTCGACTTGTCGTTTATTGAAGGTTCTGTATAATATGCGTGCTTTGGAGCTCTTTATATAAATCAACGTGCTTATAAATTACTGTCGGTTCATTTAAAACAACCCCCAAATCCCTAAGCCCCAACTTCCAGGTTATTCCTAAGAGAAAAAAAAAGAATTTAATTTATGATAATCAATAATTCGAATTCCTTTTTATTTATGCTTATACGATTTCATCGCCATCTACAGGACGAATCGAGAAGCGAAAGTTTAATGAAATGGACGGTAAATCAATTTCGAAATGAAAAAACTTTATACTTGGATACCAACGTATAATATCCTAACGATAGATTCGGGGTTTCGTATGAAGTATAGAGCGAGTCAAAGTAAAGAAGAACGATCAGGTACTTTTCGAGGTACTTTTCCTTTGAAAATCCTAATAACGTTCTAGCCCAGAAAAAAAATACATAGAAATCAGCCAAGACATAATTGGCCATTGATTTCCTTCCCAGGAACAAATACCTCTATTGATTGATTATCTCCTGCCGTTCGGTTATTCCAGTAAATATCGTATCGTGCACGAGCCATACCTATGTAGGTGCTTTAGTTTTCCGTCTGGGCTCTGGAACAAGGCGCAGATGCAGCGAAGGTTATCGCAAATTCTCTCTCTCTCTATATATATATATATATACATAGACGTATACCGCTAGGTCAGCCGTACCTATATACATAGATTATATAGGTGTCCAACGTACAAACTTACACACGTTATACCTTGGAGTATGAGGCAATGGAGCCAGTTGCCAGGATACCGAAGAACGAAGGTTCAGGACGGTTCGGGACGGTTCGGGACGGTTCAGGACGAAGTCAGACTCTAAGTCGGGAACCTGCTCGAGGTAATCACAGTGTTTTAGGGGTCATCCTCTTTATCGTTGCCCTTGCCCATCCCACTAACTTTTCTCAGTACGTTCCCCCCGACCTTCCCTTGGTTCTCTTACACGGACGACGTCTGGTCGTCGGCCCTGACTCCCTCCTCTCGTCGAGCGAGCGGGCGTCCCGACGTCGTCTGTGAAATCGACGCTAGTCATCGCTCTTACCCAGAATTACACTCGACCAGTTTCCACATCGCGACTCACTCGCCGGTCCTGACTTATCATTCGTATGAAATAATTATATTTTCAATGAAACCACTTTCTTTAAATGGAATTCCGGTTTTTCGTATTATTCACACATACTGACGTGACTTTTGGAATTTCCCTCATAAAATCATATCCTCGATAGGGAAACATTGATTTTGGCTTATCTGACTTGCTCCGCGTGTCGGTTATAGGTTTAACATCCAGATTCCTAATTTTAGTATTACAGCCTATAGTCTGTCTTATTATGACATTTTAACTTGCATTTCCGCCTATGGCGTTCCACTTCTTTTCTGTTGCTCAGATATTTTGCGAGATCAGGGCATGTGTTAACCACCCAAGCCGGGATCAGGTACAGGGTGGAAGAGAACGGAGGATCTGAATTTGGTAGATTTGATACACTGATTTACGCCAACGGGAAAAGGAAGGATGCTGCAGCTGCTGGACCACCTGATTACCAGAGGTCAGTCATCTTCTCTCAGTTTCTTTACTTTCAGAAGCAAATTCTTCTGATCAGCATTTGTCCCTTTGCTGATATACCTGATGACATATCTTTCGTGATATCTTTAGTCAACAATTTAATATTAACTTTGTAAGAATTTTGAGAACGATTTACTCTTCTCGGGTTGTTAGGCTAACCTCCGCTTCCCTTATTTGGGTCTATAGTCTTAAGTGCAATAAGGTTTTTCAAAGTTCTATTACCGATTATTTAGCAGCATTCGACTGGTGTATGAGAGAGAGGTAGAGAGATAGACAGAGAGCAGATTTGTAAAATGTTTGTTGACAAATTTGGAGCTCAGTGTGCGGTGGGGGTTTGCCGATGCGAAATACACAATCTTCGCAACACGTGATATTTTGACAAGAGAAGTAGGAGGAACCCACAGTGATCTACATGTGGAATGAAAATCATTAAAACATTGGCACGGTCACGTAATACGGGCGGCGGATGAATATAGATACGCGTAATACCGATGCTGTCTTTTGACGATGTTCAAAATAACATCGGTTTGGCGCGCAACCATATAACAATCTTACGTAACTTGATAAAGCTTGGTATTCCTTGGTATCCAAGATTCTCTTTCACAATCTCAGAATTGTTCCCTTTCCTTGCCTTAGTGCTTGCAAGGATATATTTTCGGACTTGGAAAAAGTATTAAAAAATAACATCGCGACCATGAGGTTGTCGCACGTTGTGTATACCAACGACGACGCCAGCGATGACTAATGACTGCTTCGTTGAATTTCACTGTAGTCGCGGCCACAGCCTCGACCCGACTGCTTCTCTTTCGTAAACACGATATACACATTGCAAGGAACAAAAGAAAAGTCGCCTTCGTATCAATTAAATTCAAGCAGTAACCTCTTAAGAAACACTTAAATATTATGTCTGCTTCCAAGAATCAAAGTTGATACCGATTAATGGCTCTGGAACTGCGAACCATCGAGGATTTCGGTATGCGGCTAATGCAGTAATACTGCATTAAGTTTGATGCACCTTAATCACATTTCTCTAAAGTAAGTTCTAGTCGGACGATGTAACATGTACAGCATACGTACGCTCGACTCTTGAACGGTAACAGAACTCCGTTCTCCGGCGACCTCAAGCCAGTTTTCAAGCGAGTTCTCGAGCTCTCTCTGCCCGAGTCAGTCTTCGCCAGTCACGGATGTGGTGCGGACGTGTTATTAGTCTGGCGCTAGCACGCGTTAGCGTCCTGCCAAAGTCAGAGCGAATTAGCGCTAGTTTAGAATTAGTAGAGACAGTATCAGGCAAGACGGTTCTATATCGAAGGTCGATTTTCACAAGAGTTTCACCGGTGTGTCCGATTCGTGTGGAAGTATAATTCGGTCCTTGTGGCAAGAGCATTAAATAGCAATTTTGAAAGGAGGCCTTGAAAGACAGGGAGAGAAGAACAATAAGAGAGACGCTCGTAAAACTGGTGACGACCGTACTTGCGTCTCGACGCTCTGCGGAGTAAAGGACTATAGTGTATATATATAACACGAGGAGTAAGTATCATCATATAGTTTACTTGTATACGCAATATATCTATATATTGAAAAGGAACCGAATCGATTCCATTGGACACTTTTGAGTGCAAGTGTTCATTTCCGGGAAACGATCAACGCTCCCGTGATCTCTTTGTGTCGATGGTGAACTTGGCACAAAAGTGATAGGATAGGTTTCTATAGAATTCTTTAAGCTGTATATATCGCCATTGATTTTTTGGTATAGACAGTTGGTTGGTACGACATTTACTCCATTATATTACACGGAGTCTAGAGCAAAACAAAGTACTTTGATATTTTTAATATCAAACGATCTCGGGTTCTGTTTATATATAAATGTATAAGACTATCAGCATGACTACATCAAGCTACGAAGCATAACGAATGCGTGATTGTTTCTCTATCCTTTCAATTTATCGCATAGGAAAAAAAGACACTTTTACTGTCACTTCAATAGGAGTTGAAAGAATGTTTTTTGTGGGTCTGTCTGCTATCTATGCGACTGACAATATATACGTATACACACATAGCCGAGTCGATATCTATACGTAGAAACGAGGCTCCACACCACAAAGGACAAAGGAGAGCAATACTCTCAGCTGACTCTGGCATCTTCCTCTGGAATCCTACCCTCCTTATCCATAACAACGTATCCTTCTTCGCCCTCTATTACTCCACCTATAGGTATAGTATGCTACTCGTCCTCTCCTGCATGCTGCACTTGATATCTATGTATATAGCGATAGGCGCTCAACCAAACGTTATAATAGGTAAACAGCAAGCAGTCCGAAAGAAAGGCAAGAGAATAGCCTCGTGAATTTCATATAGCAACTTACTCGTTCCGTGGCTTCTGGTTGTTAAAAAACTTTGAATGATCATTTAAAATTAAATATTTAATTTCTTTAAAACTTCCATATCGAATATCATTACCACCGTGTCATTTCGTCTTGCGATTATTACACGGGAGAAGGTCGTAGTAATTAACCAGTGCGAGTTGGTGAATAGCGGCGACGATGTAAACTCGCGAGACGTACTTACAATTAGTTGATTGGAAGATCGCTCGGTTAACAAGGAACAGTCGTCACCGGGAAATATAACAGTGGATATTTTATACAGATGAGTTTGTACTTGTAAGGAATCTGGGGTAGGATTATTTCATCTCTTCCAGGTAAGACGCTTCTGAATTAATGCACTGTACTGACTTTTCTTAGCGGGGCTTCGTTCGAAGTTTCAAATCGGTGGCGAAGCTCAGGGACGGCTGTTCGGGGGGCGGACCCCTTTCTAGAACACCGAAGTCGGGTAGGGGTAGGGTACAACAATTTTTTTTCTACCCCTACGGTATCCAGTAATATATATAGGGGCTGAATAACACGGAGCAGGTGTGTCAGTTAGCCAGGTAGAAACAACCCACAACTATTCCGATAGTTTTCAGTCTAGTACACGCAGTCGGAAGAGCCGTCACGCACGCAGGTACCGATTCTCATTACACTGCTAAGTAATTAGTGTAATAATCGTGCATTCCGTATATTAAATAAGCGCGTATACTCTAATTGGACAGAGAGAAAGAATCAAAAGTAGCATCAGTGGTATGCGGGTAGGTTAATATATATTAAAGCTTTCAAGTTAATCTCAGGAGCGTAGGCAGAGTTTCCTTCCAGCAGACGACGTGACACGTTACCGTTCCGTCTACATCGAAGCCTCTTTTGTCTCCAGAGAGACTGATAAAATTCTCAGTCCACACACTAGAGATCCTGCGCAGGGTACGGCCCTGTATACAGTGCATAATCTGTGTACACTGATATCACACACTGAAACGTAATTCCACGTGGTTTATCCGTGAGTCAGAATTCTCGTCACGGTCTTTGCTTTTGAGGCCGACAAAGCGTGTATTGTTCTCTGCCAATGTAAACATTAAATCTATGTGTATACGCTTACGAATCTTCACGTATAGTTTGCCGTATAAACTGAGGGTTGACTTGATTGAGATCTGCACAAATTTTCTAGTTATACACTCTTTTATCGAATTTTCCTAAAGGCTAGTATTCATAGGTTTATTGACATTCAGTTGTAGTCGATGCCGTGTGGGATGGTTGAATCGATCGTACCCACTTTACTGGACACTTGTTGGCAGTGACAGCTTTCTCTTTCTCTCTCGTGCTCTTTTGGTGTTTGGCTCTTATTCCTCTGCAGATCTCCCAGGGCAACCAGGAGTAACCGTTACAGTATGTGTTTACGATACGAACAGGTTTTCGTGCCGGCGTGATGACCCTGATCGTGCAGTTACGGCAGATCGTTGCGAAGGACGATCTTTTAGACTCTAATTTTACTAGTATTAGAACCAACCTCTATTATTTATTCCGTCTTACTCGCTTTCGATTACCGTTGTCATGCGTTACCCTGGGAAGTTTACGAGGAAATCGATGTACGGCGGCGCGAAGCGTGCATTGAGAATCTTTCGAATTAGCCCCGAAACTTTTCCTTCGGTTGATTATAAGTTTTTGTTAATCACTGCTTTCTTTTTCTCCTCGAGTGATATCCTATCACTGCTTGACTAGTTATATATTTTATATGATTAATTAACTGCTAACGAATTAATTAAGGTCGTTTCGTGCACTGATTAGGTAATCTACCCATTTCCTCGTTTCAGCTACACGATCATTCCTCGGGATTGTAATCGCTCGCAGTTTTCCGTGGAATAATCAAGCACGTGAAAGCTACATAAGATCTTACGTAATGTCAGTCCCACCAGCAAGCATAACGCATCTGGACTAATCTCACTGACGTAGACGAGACGCGATTCTCTCAGCCATGTGTCGATAGGAGGAGCGAGGTGGTGCATTTGTGTATATCGATGCTGTCGCTCGCAGGCGTCTCCAACGTGTCAGAAAATTACTTATAACGACTAGGTCGAAGCAATCTTTGTGGCGCATCGGGTCAGTGAAAAGAAAACGGAAACTAGGACACATAGGGAAAACTAATCTATATCAATTTTTACTTAGGGATTTAATGCTTTGGCATGGATGAGCATTCCTGATTCTAGTACAACTAGCAATAGGGTTTCGGTCGATCGGAATAAAATCTAATTTGATTGCTCGATTAAGCAATTGGGAATTAGTATTGGCAATTTAAGGAGGTAAATCGAGCGTTCGAAAGAGGTTATGGCCTCCGTGTGACGTTGGATCGTATTACGACAAGTCCAGGTATCATTACGTTCATCATGGGATAATCGTTTTTCTCTCTTCGTTTGACGATCTTTCCGTGCATTAGAGAAAATTACCGAGCGCGGACTTTGACGATCGGCACGAGAGAGTTGCTGCTTGCATGGCGTTTTAAAAATGCATACACGACTCGACCCACTTTATCCGATGAGTCGTTAATGCTTCGTCGATGTAAACGTCGGAAATGGAATTCATGTCCGTTAACGAATGGCGTACTGGTGTTTCGAACCTTTTGGTTGGCAAGTGACAATGCACGACACGTCGTGCAAATGCTGTCGACCTTTTTATCGGTCTACGGGATCTGCTTGGTTCTGATAAGAATCCGATCGACATATTCTGTGACGATTATGCAATCGATCTTGCATGGAAATTATTTGTGAATAAAAAATTTGTCGTGGATTAATTATTTGCTGTTGATTTTGGACACGTTATTGTTTTCCGTCAGGTCCATTATTTTTATTTTCCTGTTGCAGACTGTCAGTATGTATTGAGATCCATGCCCGATGCACTTGGCCAAGAAGAGGATTGTCCACTGTCTGGACTTGATTAAACTTGGGTAACCTTCCAGGTGGATCGAGATCATCATGGGCTGTTGCGCTTGTTCCGATGATGTTTCTAGCAAGATCGAACCCTCCGTGAGTCGTGGCAGGGAATATTTTGATATTTATTTTAAGTTTTTACAGATCTTCGTGTGTTAGTAATTCTCATAACGTACGAAGCGAAATAGTGGATCTTGGATATTATTCGAACTGTCTCTGCTACGTAAGGGAACATCGAAGAGATGGGTATAAAACGATAGTGGATTAAAGTTGCGGAATATTATTACGTATCTTTACGAGAACACTTACCCGATTATCGTGTATTTATTATACTCAATACTCCAAGCAGACATTACAGCGACAATGAAAAGTGCGGGGATAAAACTTTTCCTACCTGCGTTACGAGACAATCTTTATTTTTCTTGGATTTTCATATTGATCCTTATATTGCACAACGATAATGTTATTTTTGACCCACGTTAGTGACGTCAATAAATGTCAGACAATTATTTCTTGTAGATTCAAGGAATTTATAAAAAATAATAGTAAGTCGCTGCGAAGAGGTGACTAACTTGGGTCATACGGTCCAAAGGTACCGCCTGAACGTGGATGTATTTACCATAAGAGTCGAATGGGAGCGCCAACTTCAGGTGGTACATTTGGATTGGATACCCCGGTATACCAATAGTGATTTTAATATCCACGTGTATTGAATGAATATTAATTTGAATTTTCGACTCAATCGGTGATCGACAGTCTCTTATTACGTTATTAGGACTGTCAGGGTTTGATTTTAATCTGTTTACGACATAGATTGATTTCCACAAACGGAACGGTCATTAGAGAAAAGTAGAAAAACTGAATAGACATGGAAACTTCGAAGCGAGTCATTACCAAAGAAGTTAGAAGACGCGGTTAACGAAGAAAGACTTTGAAATAATGTTTTTATTATTTTCGAACAGACTCCCAAGTCCGACGAGGAGGATGGCGATCAAATCTTCGCGAAAGACCGATCCTGCACAGACGTAATAGCACTGATAGTGCTGATTGTCCTCGTGGGAGCCTTTGTAAGTAATAACTGGTATAACGAGATTTGTATGAATTTGAATTAACATTTATTTTCTCTCCATAGGGATTCTTCCTGTCAATAGCCGTGAAGAAGGGCGACGTCTATCGTCTTGTCAATGGATACGATGATTGTGCGAACGTCTGTGGACGTATCACCAGCAAAGAAACCAATCCTGAATTCAGTTGCAAGGGCGCCGACATGACTAAATTCCCGTGAGTAATAAATTCAAAATAGACTCTAAGAAAAATGTTAAATCTCAAATTTTGACACATCTATTCCCATACTCAGGTATCTACAAGTGACCGTAGGTGCTAATGGAGTGAAGACCAGAAAATGCGTAGCTGATTGTAGTTCCTTGCCAGACCAGTTAGTATTCGTTACGCACTGGCATTTGATTTTTTTTACTTTTATTTACATTAACACGCCAATGTCAATGCTGCGGCTATGTTATACGTTAAGCGTAAAAGTATTTCTAAGCGAATTTCAAAGGTGGACTTGAAACCGGCCATTCACTTGTTCTATAGTCTTGGCTTCTCTTTCGTACAGTGTGATGCTGTTGAATCGCTGTGTGCCAAAGACCGTAGCAGACACGGGTGGATCGATAGTAAAAAGTTTGGGACTGCACAATTTTTTCCACGTGAGTAACGAGATTCTTGTGATACGCAAGAGCTCGGGGTATGTTAAACGCTTATCTAAGAATGTTTATCGAACTTTACAGGAAGCGACGACTGACCTGAGCATTGTCTGGCGTGAATTGATTTATTTACTCCTAATTGCACTAGGTGAGTAATCAGAATGAAAATAATTATAAATTCCTAACGGCTTGTCGAATTGGATAATTTATATACGATTAATTTTTATCACAGCTATATCACTCTTCATCCTGATTTGCTTCCGGTATATCGTTCAATATGTCATTTACATCGTTCTGATTGGCGTCGTTGTAATATGCATTGGCGGTACGGTTTATCTCTGGTGCGTAGAGGAATTTTTAATATTTTATTTCTCGTTGAGTTTCTCGTTGAGCTGAATGTATTTTTTTTCTTGCAAATTCAGGATGGCCTGGCATTTGGAAAAAAAGGCTGTGACGTCCGGATCGATTAATTCTGAAGACGGCAGTGTACAATCGTACTTGATTTATGCAATAATAATGTCGATAGTCACTGTAAGATTTACATCGAATAAGTTTGACTGATGTCTCAGAGTATTATTATCGTGTGCTTGTTATCCCCATAGGTCATAACGATTCTGGTTGTACTCGTAATGCGCAGAAGGATCGCCCTGGTTTTGCAATTATTTCGAGAAGCTGGAAAGGCCGTCTACTCCATGCCGGCTCTTCTTCTCCAGCCAATTTATGTTCGTATTGAATTCCGACTGAATTATCCTTTGAAAATATTCCACGCGCTAACAAGCTCCTTATTACAGACATACCTAGTAGTCGGTCTGACAGTATTAGCATGGATCTACTGTATGCTATGGATAGAAAGTTCAGGCGATCTTTACAAAAACCGCAAGAACCATCTTCACTATAAGAAAGACGCATACATCTTGGTAGGTATTCTGTTGCTGGTTTCTACATTTGAATTGCAAAGAAAAAAAAAAAAAAAAAAAAAAAAAAA